TTTGTTGATCCTTTTAAAATGTGTCAATAATTAAAAGACAATTGTCTACGATAAAAGGAAAATAAACAGTATATTTTGTAGTTTAAGCACTTCTTAGAAGCCAACTAGAAAGTAATGTAATGTTTAATATTAAAAAAGCTTGAATCGTTTTAACTTCTAACAGCGTAATAAAACTAAAGTAATACGGTCATATACACAGTAAAGTGGGTGCGACTCGAAACTAGGTCACCCATTTCTCGTATCCCGAGGACAAAGACGGGGGAAGATTCCCATTAACATCATACAAGATTATTTATCCTTTGCATACTTATTAAAAATCAAGGGGTATGAAAGAGAACAATAGATTTGAAAACATTCCATGATGATATTGAGTACTATGAACTTATAATGACAATGTCAATAGTGACTTCAGCGTAACTCTCATCCCTGAGGTCGTAGGTTTGAACCACAGCCGTGCACTAACTGTCTATCTATTTGCGCATTTAATACTCGTACGGTGAAGGATGCCTTAGACCATCAAGTAAACGACGTGTGTCAGGCACAGAAGGCTGATCTCTCTCTCTATCGATGATATATCTCTCTCGATCTGATCGGACTCTTAACTAATACTGATGTAAAATCTTTATGTATAAATATATATATACATATATGTATAAAATAACTACCATATTACAATTACAAAATTTTAGTTGAACCGCCAGGATCCCCTAGAGCGAAACGTAAACATTAAAACTTACTATGTCGTAACAATTGCAATCTGAAATTTCGCCTCCTGCTTAGCACGATGTTTCCAGGGTCATACTTATGGTATAGCGACACTATCGTGTAATTCAAAATTCTTTATTTTATTCAGCTTAATTATACAAAGAGTTCAGATTGAGGCCTCCCTAATAAGTCAAAGACCTGTGACAGGGAAGCTTTTCTCTTCTTTAATTAACATGTTTAAACAAAATAAATAACACAATTGGTTTTAAAACGATGGTAAATAGAAATAATAATTATATCTGATGACTGTGTGATTGTGTGTGTGTGACGAACAAACCTAAGTGAAGAAGTTATAAGTAGTGTCTGTTTAGTTAGTGATTGAAAGTGATATTTTACGATTTGTATAGAATGCAAGTGTCTTATAATTACGCCCGTTTATAAGCGAAACTCGAAAGGCATAACATGATTTCTCCCACGCAATATCGACCGGATACATTTATTTTTCATTCTCCTTTTTGGGCTACGGACGTCCTACTGCCTGGTGTTAATATATGGATAATGCTCTACCTACGCGGCCATTTGACATTTCAAATAGCACTCCATAAATTTGTATTTTAATGCAGTCGTAAATTCGGACACGGGCGCTTTCTTTGGCTAATATTTGCAGATGGTAGACTAGAAATATTAGTGAAGCCACTTGTCAAAAAGTGCTGGTTGGAAAATTCTTTTTGTATTAGCTAGTCCATTTATCCAAGGACTAAAGACGATTAAATGTGACAGCTGACAGCTGAGAATTTGACATATATACAATGTGAAAATAGCTTGAATGAAAGCAAATGCTCTTTTACGAAACGTTACAGCTGGTACAAAAGTCGGTCAAATTCTACACATAAATGCAATCTATAGTCTATACTAAGTATAGAAGACATAGTGTAAGATATAGAAACAATATTTAGTCCTAGGTGCGATTATGTGACCCCTGTTAGTGAAAAATGTAATGTATTTTGACATATAGATTTGGGAATGAATAATGTTGATCAAAAGCTGTAAATAGAAAAAAGTTGTTAACAGAAGTAGTACTTAATCATTCTAGTTGAAAAATCCTATTTTGCTATTGATCAGTGAATACCTCGACAATATAATAAAAAAATATAAAAAATCAATGGCGCTACAACTAATTAGTATATCTTGCTAATGTTAGGAATCGTAATCTACGAGTATAATATATGTCTATGTACCAACACTTATACAGCAAGAGAGATTCACGGATCTTATGTTTATTTAATTTAGTTTTTTCATACAAAAAAAAATCAGAGCTAACCATGTTCGGTCTGGGCCTCAGATTTCTGTATCTGTTTCATGATCATTTGTCCATCTACGAGACAAGTTGGTGATGCCTCTGTGCCTAACATACGCCGTCGAATTTTTGGGTCTAAGGCAAGACGATTTCCTCACGATTTTTTCCTTCACCGTTCGAGCGAATCTTAAAGAAAATGTATATAAAAAACATACAGTTACGCGTTGTTGAATCTGATAACAAAAATATCTTATTATAAATATCTAGTTATAAATTCTAGGTTTATAAAATAGTTGTTTGTTTGCCTAAATAACCAGTATATACTTACTTGCTAATTGACTAGTTAACATGCCATTTGCAATTGCGTAAAACGCATTAGCGTACTCAGTTTTTGTGTGGCTTTTGCTAAGCGAAACCTGTTTCGTGTTAAGTAGCGGATAATTTTATATTATGATATTTTTGATGCTCTTTAAAATCTGAAGTTTCTTCGAGTTTAAACTTTTTAATTTATTAATAAAAGCTTGCCAACGCTCGGCACATTGAAATATTAGTACAAGACTTACAGGCAAATAGAACATATACGAAGAGATAATATAAATATTAAACAAAACAATTAAAATTACAAAAACTAAAAGAAAATAGATTTAAAAGTGTGAGGGGAGCAACTATGGATATCCAGACCCAGCTCTTTTATCGGAATGCTCAATCTGGATATCAGTGAACTTTGACCAAAACGCGTTTTTCGGAAAGGAGGGTCAAATTGAATGATGGGATGCCTGGGGTATCTTAGTTTAACAAAGAATAATGTGAAATTGCACGTCAATATGACTGTATAAATTCCTTAAAAAGATCTTGGATTTACGTTTGTACCAATATTATATTGGCTCTGACATAAAATACGTCAGTTTTTAATACCAGTGGCGCTACAACCTTTTAGATCTGGGCCTGAGATTTCTGTATCTGTTCGGTGATCCGCCTCCTGTGTCAGACACACGCCGTCGACTTTTTGCCGGTTTCAAATGCGCACGTAGACAGAAAGTCCATTGGTGCAGAGCCGGGGATCAAACCTACGACCTCAAGGGTGAGAGTCGCTCGCTGAAGCCACTTGGCCAACCTTTTATTGTCTCACAAACATCATGATTCATTTTTTTTGTAATTACTGGTAATCATTATGACAAGTATATGAATAGCATGTTCGTTGATTGGCATTATAATCGTTTTAATAATAGCTTTAATCACGCAGTAATTAGGCATTTTCAATGTTTCGCGTTTGAACCTCAAATGAAAATGTTGTCTATTTAAAATCGTTGAGTTACGTAAAAAGGATGCGTCTTGGCAGATTTTCCTCTCCGCTAACGGAATAAACGATTTTCGCATCTAGGTTACTGTCAGTGCTTTATTGTATTTACGTGACAGATATACACAGATAGCTGCTGTGGCTGGGTCAAGGTGCCCGGCAGCTTTCGACTATATCTAAATATGGAACCAATGTTAACTCACGTTTAGCAAATCGTGTTTTTTAGTATTACCGCAGGCACCTAATTTCCACATAATATGCACACACCAGTATTGCCAGATCAGAGGATTTCCCCCTAGATTTAGGGGTTTCTCAACCGAGTTAGGGGCTGAATAGGGGGAAAAAATATTTGGGGTTTTTTTAGGGGGAAATTAAAAAAACACGCCAAATACAGTTTTTTTGCTATCACGTTCTTTATTTTGGAACTAAATTGAAGTACGAACACATCTAAGATAGGATCCGTGTGGTTAACCTTACTAATTGTACATTTGTTGAGCTTTCAAAGAACGATGTGATTTTAAATAAATACAAATTCTAAAATAACATGAATATATGCAGTAATAACACTACATAATATATTTTTTTTTGTATTTGAAGGCAGGATTTCAATTTAGTCTAGGGGTACGTCGCCGAGACCACCTGGCAACACTGGCTCACACCAGTACAGCTGTTAATCCGCCCGTGTCCTTGTTATAATCTACTCAACAATAGATACGCGGAAGCCTGTTCAGAGTCGTAAAAAACTTTACGACGCGCTTACAATTGACGACTGTAAAATAATTTTATTGGGGAAGCATCCAGCTAATAACAATACCAGCTGTGTGATTACGAAAGTGCCCATCGTGTGCTTGCAATAGATCTATAAGGTTAGAAGGGCTTGGTACTTAGAACTGTCGTAGGCGTTGGCCTTCCACTAATAAAATATTCAAATCATTCTTAATTTAAAAAATTAAATTTAAGAATTTAACCGCGCAGCAAACAAGTGTTACATGCATTAACTAGATTCTAATGGTAATCTAAGACAACATTTTTCAAGTGACACCTTACATTGTCGTCCTTTATTATCAAGGTTCAAAATGAGGGGAATTTTCCAAATTCCGTCTGCAAAAACCAACCTAGGAGTTCAGGCACCTCTCATTCGAAATTTTCGCGAAATTACAGAATAAACACTAGCTAAAAAAGGCATTGTGAAGTGCCTATCTGAAACCTAATCCGCTATATATTAGTAATTTTTTGCTTAACGATAAGCAAAACAGTAAAATGCTAGTAAAATAAAAATTGGAAGTATATTTATTAGTTTGACAATTTAATTTTTTGTAACATTTAAGTTTACCATAATAATTGTCATGTATTTTAGAAAAGCTTGTAACATATACCTACTGTAGATATATTATTATACTCGTATATGATGTGGTGAACTTTAATAAATCGCACCAGTACTGCGTTCCAGTCTTAAGTCTTCAGAGTTTTGATTTCGTGTGTATTTGTGCCTTATGAAGTCATTAATATAAATTTATTTCTTTTCAGATCGAGTTACCCGTGAAGACTTCTAATTGTAAGACTAAAGTGCCATTGGGAACCAGTTTACCACGACCAGTGATATTAGGGTAAAGTGATAGTGATATAGAGATAGTATTACCAGATATTTTAAGTGTGAAACGTAACCAAAAAGAAGTTAAACTGGCTCCGTACAAGGATATAATGAATTCGTCGAGCATGAGCTCTGCTGTGCCGACAATCAAGTGTGAAGATACGTCTCCATCGCCGACGGCCGCTGTCGGAAACGACGGCGATTCCGCGTCATATTTAAGTGTTAATGTGAACCTGAATGCTGCAATGATTAACCTCCTGGCAGCGGAGAACGCGGGGAACGCGACCACCCTGCGAACCCCAGAGATTGTCAACGACCTCATCACAATGACGAATCCCCTAGACCAGTATAATTATGACAAGAATTCCAACTTTAGGGTAAGTTAAATTATATCATCATCATAAACAGACCCTTGTGGCTCTCAGCCTCCTCAAGCATATTTCGCTATCGCATCTATTTAGTGCTTCTTGCAACCCTTACTGTTTCGAAGTCCTTGACAATTCCATCCCACCAACGCAGCCTCGGTCTACAGTTTTTCTCGATATCTCAGGTTTTCTCTTGACACCAGGTTGTGATTTCTGTAAGGACCTTGGGGACTTGTCTTTGCAAACAGGGCCAAAGATTCCTCGAATAATCTTCCGCTTCCGTAAATAAGGAGAGCAAGCTCGTCCTTCTTGCTAAGGAACCAGGTTTCAGAATCATAAGTGATCACTGGTTGCTGGTGGTTTTGTACAGAACAAGCTCGCTATCAGATCGCGATCGCGGAAATATCTACTAAGGCCAAAGTAGCAGAGATTTTCTATCATAATGCGTCTTGATATCTCAACTGAGATTATTATCACTAGTGATAGATTTTACATAAGTTAAATTATATATGATTGAATAATCCGATATAATTATGGTGTAGCGTAATTAGTATCATTTGACTTGCGCTTTGACTAATAGCGTTGGCGATTTAATAGAAAAATTGGTTTATTAGGAACAGCATATAATTATGTACGATCACGATTTACGGTCACGTTCAGAACAATATTCTGTCTTGACCATGAAAGTACTTAGAAAATCAAAGTGGTTTAAATTGAACAAACACCTACACTTAGATAAAGTGCTAGATGAAATACCTGTAATGTTATTAAAGTCTAGATTTACGATGGTTTGTCTATTTTACTGTTTTAGTGAGCTTTAGAAGTCGAAAAAGACTTCTAGTGAGCTTTAAATGTCAAAAAAGAATTCTAGTAAGGTAAATTTTTATTTTATTTTTACATTTTCGGTACAGAAACAGACTGATTAAATACATAAAATTATGACAAAGTAAACAAGTCCAATTACATCTGTACACAGTATTTCAGTGACATCTTCAGTGCTGGTTTTCAAAAAATTAACTATTAATAACATGACACACACGTGTCTAATAATATAGAAAGGAGATACACGTGTGAAAATAACAAGGGAACTTAAGAAGGTGCAGCGTTAACCAGGCAACTTCTTTACAATAGAGTAGCCGACAATATCTCACACAATTCCCGAAGGACTCTTTGTACTGAAGAAATCAAGAGTGTATGAAAAATGGCTATCAAATTTGCGACTCGTAATTTATGGCTCGCTTGGATATAAAAACGCCTTAAATCGTCGGGAGTTACGCCCCGAAAGTATAGACGCAGGCACTTTCTTCAAGATTCATTTAGCATTCGTTTCATGGCAATTAGCATTTAATTAGCGAAAATAATATCCTCTCTTTAAAGCATCCCGTTGACCTAGGAACCATATAGTAGGTATAACCGGGTCATTTCGCTAGTTTAATGAATGGACGTGATTATAAACTACGATGAATTCAGAGCGTGAAATGACAATAGACAAAGCCGATATTTATCTGCTGTGACACATTTTGCATAATGGAACTGCTACCATTAATGTCCTGTACGATTAAGCATTCTGTTTTTATCTGAGGTGGAAATGAATTCCCGCTAAAGGTTGCAGGTGTATGTAGATTCTTCAACCTACCTTCAACTTTTCGTTAGCAAAATTTTTGTATTTGTTATTCCTTAATATATATAAACTGATCCTGAACCCTGGGATCGTCGGTTCGATACCCGGCACCACGGACTTTATTTCTATGTGGGCATCTAACATTCGCTCGAACGGTGAAGGAAAACATCGTGAAGATACCGGCTTGCCTTAGAACCAAAAAGTCGTGTGTGTCAGGCAAAGGAAGCTGATCAACTACTTGCCTATTAGATTGACAAATTATCATGAAACAGATTCAGACATTTGAGGCCCAGACCTAAAAAGGTTGTAGCGCCACTGATGTGATGTATATATAAACTAAAAGTACAGAAAACACTGAATGGCTACACCACAGTACATATTTCAGTAATATTAAAAGAAACACACTCAAGGTAGTGAGTATCACCAGTATCAAACTGTTCGTTAAAGGCAACAAATTTTGCAATAATTGTTACAGCGTTACAAGCCGGAAATCGTTGTTGGCTGAAACTGTTCGTTGGGAGAAAGTGCGTAGGTAATAATATGCCTAAATATTCATTCAATGCTTATAAATAAAATTTAAAATCGTTTGTATTGTTTTGTTTTACTGAGACAAGAAGCGGTTGGTCGTTATATCCGATGAATATCGATAAACTTTCGTCGTTGTAAGCGATATGTCGCTGTATCCGATGTTGTTATAAGCGGTTTCTTTACTGAATAGTTTACTAGGGATTCGGACGGGACCATACAATCTGGTTGTAATAACCGATAGGTCGTTGTAAACGATGTCGTTATAAACGGTTTTGACTGTATATGTTAATTTGTGAGGGGAGAGAACCGTTTAATCAGTTTCATCAAAATTCCTCGTCATAGGGACTTCACCTATACTTTATTGCAGTCTGGCATTTATAAAAAGACGAAGATTTTAATTTCTTCAGTGGTTTTCAAATGTATAAATTTATGATTATTAAATTTTATTTACAAAAACTCTCGGCACACTGATACATAAAGAGAATAAAAACAAACAACAATCATAAAGAGAAACCAAAATTCTATTCAAAAATGCATAAAATCTTTTATATAGTAATATTTTATTTATAAATACTCAAACTCAAAATAACTTTATTCATATAGGTAACCAAGTACACTTATGAACGTCAACAGAAAAGATGTTAAATTGATTCTAAATTTACATTTACTACCAGTTTGCAAGTCAGGGCGTAGAGCGGGCAAGAAGAACTGGCAAGAAACTCTCCGCCACCCTTTTTAATCGCCAAGTTTTCAATCAATCTCAAAGATTAGGATCATTTAAATAATCGTCAAATGTATATTTATTGATTAAAATTATTTTTTAAAATTGAGGTACTTCTGAAAGCACTACTCTATCCTATGGCAATTAAACATTGTTGTTTCGCTGGGATAAGAGTCTAGGAAGGATGACACGTCTTGGAGAGTTAGGTACTAAACCATCTTCCATCGTCTTATAAATGGACATGTATAACCTTTGCTATAATATTGTTAAGGCTATAGCTTCCAAAGTTATGTCCATCCCTTTCCTTCCTACTCCAGCGGTGGTGTTCTTTAACTCCTAAGAGCTATCTGATAATGAGTTTTTGTTAAACTCAAAATAACTTTATTCATATATGTAAGCAAGCACACATATGAACGTCAATAATATAATTAAGATATGTATCCCTTATTAAAATTATACCTTAAGATCCACTTCTATTTTCAGAATATGTGTGGGAATGACTCAAACTCTTCGATGTCCAATGGGTCTTCGGCTACCTCACCAGCCTCAGGCACTCCGCCGAGTATACAAAAGGTAGAACTATGTTTTAAAACTTGCATTATAATTGCTTACGTAGACGATTTCTCCGTTTTTACTTTGCATATTACGATATGTTTTTAATTAATAAACAGTACACTAGTAAAATTTTTGATTTATGAAGTTTTCTGTAAGTCATAGTATATATTTATTTATTTACCTTATGTATGGCAAAATTAAAACTATTATACAATTAAGCTATTTATAAAATTTCAAGAAAACCTTTTGCTATCCTTTAATCTTTTCTCAGTACATTTTTAAATCATATTATATTACCCCCACACGCTTGAGAAATAGGTCGCTCTCCTCTTATCATGTCTTGATAAATCTTCAAAATTATAATACATATTTCAAACCTACAGACCTATTTTTATCTAAAATCGAATGTCATAACTTATCTTTATTATACAAACTTGCTAAACACGCCTTTTTGTGTCGCCGCAGCCACGCCCATTGCATTAGATAACGTATCTGAAAAATTCTAGAAAATTCTTTAAGATCGATAAAATTATCACGATAGTTACGCGTATAAAATGCTACTTTAAAACTGTAATAAAGACCACGTCAATTGATTACTATGGACGGAAGGATTAGTTGTAGTGGTTATTCAATATATTAATCCTGGAGTATTTTTTATAAACAATTAATTTAATGATCTTTTTCTAGTCAATTTGCGATATTTGTTTTAAAATAAGTGTTGTTTGATGATTTGCTATTTTAAAAGAGTACCGAGAGTTTTTTACGCCGGCTTTTCTCTCGGCCTACACCCTCTGTCTTCTTTGCCGATGAGTAGGGATGCCTACCGATTCAAATTTAATAACGTGGAATAAGTGATACCTGTATCTTATATTCCATAATAAACATATTTTTAATTTTTTTATAATGTGTAAGATTTGGGATCCCTTTTAAGTAAAAAATACCTGTGTCAGGGATCCCAGCTCTTCCATAACAACTTATTAGTATGTATATTCCATAAAAATAGTTGTTTTTCAAACTGTTTACAACACGCATATGTGCATGTGTGTGAATAAGTGAGTTAAATGTGTAACTAGAACTCAGGAGCATCTCCAACTCATCGTAAGGTGTGTTCATAAGCCAGTCCTTTAACCGTTTTTATTTTTAAATAATTAATTAAAATTAGAATCATTATAAAGTACATACTCGTAGTAATAACACTCGTTTAATGGCAGAGTCAAGAATTTATTTCAAATCAATGAATTATGAAAATTGCACATTTAACCTCTATTCAAGATAATAAGTATAGTTTTTTTAACCTCGCACAATAAGCGGATGTTATTAATGTGAGAAAATATACATATTCAATAGTTAAATTGAGATTGCACCTACCTGTTTTAACTTTAAAGCGAATTGTGATTGACTACAGGATTTAATATATAAATATTTCTATTAAAATTACAATAGCACGAACGAATGAATGTTTTTGTAAAGTAAGGGGGGCAAACGTACCTACGGGACGCTCATAAGCATGGAAGCAGCCCATGACACCCATTTTAGTGGGTGCGTTGTCGGTTTTTTTTTGTGTTCATAAAATCTAAAAGACCAGCCAGTGGCCGGGTGATACCACTCAAACTACTCTAATTAGACAATATTTCTAAAAAAATAATTCATTCATATAGGTAGCATAATGTACACTTATGAACGTCAAAAAAGAAATATGTATGTATGTATTAAATGCTTCTAATTTTACATTTAGTGCCAGTTCTCAAATCAAGGGCGTAGAACGGAAGAGATGAACTGGCAATAAACTCTCCGCCACTATTTTTAATCGTCAAGTTTTTTGTTTTACACAATGTTTGTAGGGAGCTGGAACTATTACACCATGTTCCACATGACATCTTAAGTAATTAATAGTTAATTAATAACATACTATCTAGGAATATTTAGTAGTTCTCAATATAAGATATATCCATCAGGAAGGTTAGTAGTCGTAATTTAATATTATTTGTGAAATATTTATTAGTAAAAATTAGTAAATATTACGCTTGACCTTTCCAAAGTGTGATTCCATTTCGGTAAAGATAAGTGTACAAAATGATTTAACATAAAACTAGGAAAAACATTGTGTACATTAAAATAACCTTCTAATCAAGGTGAGTTTTGATATAGTCACGATGTTTACTTTAAAGTTTTAATTTAACTGTAAAATGTAAATTGATTGATCGTTAGTGATTGCCAATGGTTAATGCAAATTCAATGGCCAAAAGTTTGTTAAATATTTCAAAACTTATGAAATGATTGATTTAATATTAATTACTAACAAGAGATTTAGAAAAAGAATTAAATTGAATTCGCACAAAAATTGTGGGCAAATGGGAAGGGGTCACCTGATGTTATGTAATTCCACCGCCTATAGACTCTTACACTGTTAGAAGGCTCGCAAGTGCGTTGCCGGCCTATAAAATTGGACAATGATAGTATATTTTTATTTTTGAGAATACACATAATTATACATACAAAGTTAGATAAAATATTTAATAACTTTAAAATAAGTATTTTAAATTATATATAATTAATAATATCTGTAAGCTAAAAAAAATACTAATTCAATGCCATTTAAAAAGTAATTCACCTATAAGACACTTATGGAATATTCCCATTTACAATCAGACCTGAGCCCGTACTCTGTAACTTCAAATAGGGACACCGAAAGCGAACCCAATTACAATATTTTTTTACCGCGATACCAAGGTCCGTAGCGCTGATATCGCACAGTAAGTTACTCGGTAAAGGCGCTGTTTATTTTTTCGTTCATAGGATATAATCTTAATCTTTATTTTTTGACAAAAGCTTGGGGTTATTCGGGCTCGCTTTCTGTGCATATCCTAATACCCCACGACGCCACCAACACTCAAAAACGGGACGCGCCCATACCTTCTTAATCTACAGTCAAAACCGTTTACGACGACATCGTTTAGAACAACATACCGGTTATATTGGCCAAAATTAAAGGTGCCGGCTGAATTCTTTTCTATTAGGTTCTTAATAACAACGTCATAGTCGTAGAATAGTGACGGATCTGACAAATAGTAAACTTTCCAGGCCAGTCATTTCAAAATAATATAATCATGTTAGTTTTTGTCATAACTATTTTAATTCATATTCTGTTATTATGAAAATTGGCATACAAACAAACAAAAGGGCTTGTTGTGAAACAAAATAAAAATGATAACATTAAATTACACAGTTTTCTAGAAAAATCACATGTTTTTATCAAATCCGTCACTTTAGCCGTAATATTTAGTCAACGTAAGTATCGAAAGTGGATTTTGGATTTTTTTCAAATCCGGCATTGTTCTACGATCTTGACGAAATATGAGTAGTCCCTTCGATGTCGTTATAACAGATTTTGACTGTACATACCCAAGCATTAATATTTTCAACACACCCATAAATATTTACGACAAATGATATTATCTTTTCCAGACGTGTTCGGAATTAATCAAGGCTGGCTTGAAGCTGTCCATCGAGTCGAAACGGAAATTGTCCGGCAGCGACACTGACGGCGGCATCAAGAGGATGAAGAGAGAAGATAGTGACGACGATTACGATAGCAGCAATACTCAGACGCCTAAGAGTGAGGTGAGAAGATGGCTTTTATTTATTTAATTATAAGTTATCTTACAGCTAACATACATATTATGAAACAAAACACTCAGATAATACAGAAAGCCAAAACAGATTACATAGATAAACAATATATATACGAAACAGAAAAAAAGTAAGTACATTAATAGACAAAAATATATAAGTAAAAAAAACTAAAGAAAACTGAAATTTAACATTTGAAAATTTTACTTCCTAACTTTTGTCACGTATCACATTCGGCAAGTATTTGTGTATGGCATATATTCACTTGAAAGCTTCAACACAAGGGTTTTATATACAATTTGAAGAGACTGCAATCTATTAGTTTTCTGATACAATGAGAGAAAAGAGAGTTTTAATAATTTCTTTTAGTTAATAAATGTAGGAATATGTCCTTTTTAACATTTTTTACCACGAACAATTTATTGCTAAAATGTTTTTGTAACTGTTAGACGTACTCAGAGCCGTCCAATTATTTTATTTTATTTATTAATAATAGAAGCATAAATCCAACATTCATTCTATTGAATTTACTGTACATTAACTAATCGTAGTTAGTGACTTTTTTTACTGGCTGAACCGTTAACTCGAAAACAACTCCAAGTAAGAGGTATAGTTTTTTATTAAATTAAATAATTGAGTTGTATTTGTAAAATGTCTGTTCTTTTACATATTTCCTATATATATAAATAAATTTCGGTCCGTTTGTCTCGCCAAAACTCGAGAAAGGTGGCACCGATTTGGCTATCTTAGAAACATAAATAATAGGTAAAAAATATACTAAAAACTGTCACTATCTATTTATAGAGCCCTCTAGAAATTTGAGATTCATAGCTGAGGTCCGTTCTCTATGGTTTTAAATTATTATTTTAATTTTGAAACAAATATATGTAGGTGATACGAGTTCACCGGGTCATCTTATTCAAACTTGGTTCGCAATAATCACCTTCCATTCTCAACGCAATTCGCTGGTTATTCTCCGAGCTATTAAAAACATCACGACAGTAATCATATTTTTCAGCTAATTTATTACTTCCTCGCATGTGGCGGCACAGTAATAAATTTGTAACCGAATTTTATAATGAATGACCTCGCGTTGCAGTTTACTAATAAAAACTCTGTTTTCATTATGATAGTGCCATCTACACAGTACAAATTTGCTAAATCTTTTGTAGTATTCCTTGGCCGAATATAAACCTTTATAATACTTGTACATATAATAATTATGATAAATGATAATGTATAACATATGACATTGATAGAATTTTTAGTTCGTTTGCCCTTATTGCTTCAATTTCTTTAACGACAAATTGTTTTATTTTATATTATATGTTTGAATTACGAAGTTCAAATACTTCTCCAGAACGCATTGCTTATTTATTAATTATAATATACAACATGTTTGTGTGAAGGTTGCAATAATTATATTATAATTAGGAATAAAGTATAAAAAAAAATTAAATCAGTGGCGATAAAACCTTTTTGATCTGGGCCTCAGATTTCTGTTTCTGTTTCATGATCATTTGTCAACTAATAGGCAAGTAGGAGCCTCCTTTGCCTGACACACGCCATCGACTTTTTGGGTCTAAGGCAAGCCGGTTTCTTCACGATGTTTTCCTTCGCCGTTCGAGCGAATGTTAAATGCGCACATAGAAAGAAAGTCCATTGGTGCACTGCCGGGGATCGATCCTACGACCTCAGGGATGAGTCCACTTGGCGAACACTACTCATATACATAAAAAAAAATTAAAATACACACTTAAATAGCCCAACACGGATCTTATCACTTCAGGCACAACATGCTGCGAAGAACTGAGTCTTGTTGCCGATTATATTTACAAAAATATTTTTAAATACATTTAAATAACCAGAATAATGATTGATTAACTCATATGGTGGAACACCTCGTTAGAAAGGTGGGTGTCTATTGTGTAGAAACCTGTCTACTTTTAAAGACAATTTAATGATGTGGTGGGTGCAAATGCTGTTTATGCTACGGCCTTTGTGATGAGTCGGATTCTCTTAGAATTTATAAATGCACTTTATTATTTATCTTTTTTACTACAGTTCAGAATGATAAAGACGAAACATTTAAATAGCTTTGTAATTCAAATTATTTTTTTTGTAGGCGTTTGGGTGGCGCCCTGGATGGTTTAGATTCACAGATAAGCCCGGCAGATGGCTTGCAGTCGGTACTTTCATACTTTGTTAAATATCCTAATAGCTTGAAATATCATCGATAATGTCTGGACCGATTTAGCTAATTATATTCTTGAAATATTTCTAGAAGTTCAGAACAGGTTTAAATGGTGGTAAACATAAGTAATTAGAATAGAAAAATACTTAAAACAACTGAATTTTCCAATTAAAACGGTTTCTAGATGAGAAATATGAGATGTCTTTTGTCTTTTTAGAATTAAAAAAATGTCACTTGGTGACATATATTTATGCCTTCAGTTGTGATTCATAGCTGTAGTATGAGGTCCGATCGCTTTGTTCTGTTCTAAACATTTTGTAATTAATTTTGACTCTAATATATGCAGGTTATACGAAGTTCACTGGGTTGTCTAGTCCGATTATAAATATGACGAGTTTTAGAAATGTAATAAGTGTAATGAGTGTGAAAATTAGAAACTAAGTATTTAAGAAAACTTTTTTAACACTTTATATTTTTAGTTATTTATGTTGTGACAATGCGAGGTTTTTTTTATTTCGTGTATCGTTACAAAGCAAGCTCAGCGTGCGACTCACCCCTGGGGTCGTAGGTTCGAACCCCGGCTGTGCACCAATGGGCTTTATTTCTATATGCGCATTTAACAGTCGCTGGAACGATGAGGGAAAACATCGCGAGGAAACCGGCCCAATAAGTCGACGGCGTGTGCCATGCACAGGAATCACCTACATGCCTATTAGATTGACAAATGATGAAACAGATAAATAAATATGAGACCCAGAACTAAAAAAGATATAGAGCCACTGATTTATTTTTATATTTAATAAATGTAGTAAGTGTGATAATAAAGAAACTTCGAAAGCGTTTGAGCTTTTATATTTTACTGTCTCTATGTTATCGAGTATGTATCGTTACAAAGAAAAATCAACTTCTTAATATAAATAAATAAGTTTTCCCAACAATACGTCTCGATTCAATTGAAGTAATAGAATTTTTATTGGGATCCATTGCACATTTCCCATTGGATCTTTATGAAGCCTGTCAATGCATTATAATTCAACGGTTTTATTGAAGTTTTACGAGTTTACAAAGAAGGCATTGCAAATGCGTTCGTGACTTAACTTCCTGATCGAAGGCTTGCAATGTTGCAAATGAAAGCCTCACAGGTGTACTGAATAGCTAATCTTGCACAATTAGATTATTTTTCTTTAATTGAAAATGGCTACCTATACTTTATGAATTAGCTATTACGGTCGGTCATTTATTTTTAATACTTTTTAGATTTAAACACAGACTGTGGATGTTGTTAAGGTATAATGGAACATTGTCAAAGTTAATTTTTAAATACGTTTAGTAGTTTAAGACCGACAATTATTTGTATCTTTGATTTCACTTATATTAACGAGGTATTATAAAAAATAACTTCTTCAGATTCAAACACTTAAAATTGTTCAAGTATTACGAAAGCAGATTTACTGCAATTTATCCCTCCCCCTTCCAGTTGCATTTGAAAATCTCCTATCCTTTTAACAATGCTATTACAGACTATTGTTATCGATTATGAATTGTTGTAGCTTAAGTGATAACATTCAAAACAGAGTTTAATAAATCTATTTTACCTTTTTTTATATATCCAAGATGGAAATGGCTTTGCGCATGCCTCCGAATGTTGGATTCGATGCAGGGGGTATGTGGGATTCGATACCATAATCTCTGCTATTCAGAACCCACTAAAACCACCTTGAGTAATTAATCAATTATGAATGATAAAAGATTAATCTATCAATGTAAAATATATTTAAAATTTATATTCATTCTAGTTAACACCTGAAGATGAAGAGCGAAGACGACGTAGACGTGAGAGAAATAAAATTGCTGCCACGAAATGTAGAATGAAGAAGCGTGAACGGACAGTCAACTTGGTCAACGAGAGTGAAGTCTTGGAGAATCAGAATATCGACCTGAAGGCGCAACTTAAGGTATCTTCTAATTTACTTTTGTTTAATTGATCAAATTAAAAAAAGAAACAATACAATCGCTTTAACTAAAAATGTGCCTAACTTAGCTTATACTTCCTATAAAATAAAAAATAAAATATGTTTATTATGGAATATAAGATACAGGTATCACTTATTCCACTTCATTAAATTTGTATCGGTAGACATCCCTACTCATCGGCAAAGAAGACAGAGGGTGTGGGCCGAGAGAAAAAGCCGGAATCAACACTGATGTGGCCTTGCTAGGAGTGACAGCTTCACCCACCATGCAATACACGATAGAATTATTATTTCGTTTTTTCCCTATGACATTCGTCTATAGATATATTTTTTTCTAGATGTCTAACATAACTATAATAGTCAGACACACGCTGATCACTTCTCTGAACAAAAACGATGAATATGCCCATGAACAGCTGTATTTTGACTTCTTATACAAAGAAAGCTACATCATTAACTCAATATTATATAATACATAGAATTATTTCTCACTAAAAAGCTCAAATATGTTTCGTAATTTACCTCGAGAGACCTATTGTAAAACTTGGAATGGAATATTTTTGATAACTGCATATAAAAACACAGCCTTATTGACCCACTTACCAAAAATGGTATTTATATGTTTCAGGATTTGGAGGTGCAAAAGAGACAACTAATGGACATGCTGTCTCTACATTCTGCGTCGTGCGTCAAAAACAACTCGAACAGGACCTCGCCAACAAATTCCTTCAACATGTTGCGTTCCTACGAATCCCCAACAACATTCCCCGTCAACTATGACGCTCACTCTCCTTACATCCGGCCGGAATCCGCGAACATTCTAGCCTCTAGCTACACCTGTGTCACCCCCATCAACGGGAACTCCATCGACACCATGACCCTAGAAGCGACATACATAGCCCCACAGAACATAGACGTCGACTACAGTAGACCAGACAGCGTCCTCAGTCTTCCCCCCAATTCCGAGAACTATATGACCACAGACGGTTACTTGCCAAAAGCCACAACCATCCTTGGGCCCATCGAACCGGAAGCTGAGTATTACGAGGCGGAACTAAATTACTCGGCTCAGCAATGCCACAATTACCCCAACCAAGACGCTCAAACGAAACTCAACATGAACGACGGCTGCTTAGTTTAGACGTTCGGGTCCAATTTCGTATACGTTTAGATTTAATTCGAAATCGTCTCCACATCTCGCTTCCAATTTGTGATTAAAATTTTATTGGTTGTCTCTGTTGAAATTTATTTCGAAACGAATTGTATGTCTACTGTGTAGAACGGAACGGCGCGTTCATTCAATTCAATTTTGTGTGCAAAATTGTGAAAATTTGTTTTAGTGTTGTGAATAATGTCACCGTAATGTAACATTGAACTGTGTTAAGGTAATCGTACATAATATTTAAATTAAGTTGTTTTATTCTAACCGTTTTATAAGTTCGATAATTTTGCTTTGATCTGTACAAAATATTCAAGATCTGATCTATGTTTGCGGATATTGCAAATCTCCGCAGTGAACAGCCATAAGTCTAGTCGACTTTTGACGCCAAATACAATACATCACAAGATACTTCCAATACGAATACCTCCTGTTGAAATTCCAAATGTATATTTTATGTTATAAATATATTTTTGCAGATTATAATGATATATTACCATTTTATATAGGATTGCATAGATTAAGGCGCTTTATTCTAATGAGGTGATATGTAAATTATAGTATATGTACTAATTACATACCATAAATTTTATATTCAGCATGTATTTTCAGCGATGAGACACAAAGTGTCGTTAAATAAGTGCCTATTTAATTGTTCGTTACTTAATTGTATCTTGCGAAGATAATAATGTTAAGGAACGAATGTTCGAAATATTTTATGGATTATATATTTTCATATGCGTATTTGAGCTTATTGTATTTACATTACGGCAACCAACTATTTATTTCAACGTCACGTTTATTATATAATAGAACGATTATTCTTCAGATGTAATTAGTTTTACATGTGCTTTAGCGATAAATCGATTCTGTGGTGACAGTGCTCCATTTTGTTTTTGTTTGAAAATAGGGAACGGTCTAATTTTCAATAAATATTTAGTTGGTTGCCCTTAAACCGTGCCTTGTACCAGTGAACCTAGTCTTCGGCTGCCAACGACACAAACAAGCAGTCAGTCACGCAAGCATTTATTTTTGTCGATTTGTGATGTCTTAAATATGGCACAGTAGTTATATCGCTCACAGATTTATATAGATAGGGGCATAGAGATTATAGAAGAAATGTCAAATGTCACAAATCACTTAAGTATCAGTTAATTATGATGGATTCTGACTGACAACTAACAACAAAATTCGCTTTGTATTCTCTATGACCTAGTTTATTTAAATCTCATTGATATTGCATAAAAGCTTTCTAGTGACATAGTTATTCTATTATTTATTGCTTTTTATCTATGGTAAGTTGGCATTACGGAAACCTCAAAGTAATCTTAGATAGAAGATTAACTTTTGATGGTTCCATGGTAGAATCCGCAAAACATATACTTTTAGTTATATTATCATTAATAATGCTTACATATTATAATGTTGATTTTTTATTTAAATAAAATGTAATTTATTTTTTTAATGTCTACATAACAAGATTTCTTATAATTCTGTTTTGAAATTATTATTTTGCAGAATACTTAAAGCCAATATATTTGCCACTTTCATCAGTTCACAAAAACTTAATGAATTCCGGTTGCTAGCGTTAAATCAGGATTGTAGAGTACCAGTACTGTCGGCTGTTAACTAAAGGGTTTTCTTGGTACATAATCTTGTTCGTAAGGTGAACAAAATCACACAGAAGTCTACGTTGTATTAATAATAATCATGCTGAAGTTAGCGGTCAAACCCATAAACTTGACTTTGAGTATTCCAAATTGTATAATAGTGACAAAACTGAATTGTATCGACTTTTTTGACGCCTAACGCACGATATAATGTTCAATATATATTTTAGAGATGAATTTGTATAATGAAGTTCATGTTTCGATAAATTTTATTATTAGACGTTGTAATTGTTAAACATCACTCGTACCTGCTTCTTTATAAATATTTTGACAATCGAAGCAAAATTGTGCTTATTTACTGAAAAATTAAAAACATTATATTGATTTTATTGTTTATTTTTAATTCCCTCGAACCTATCATTAAGAGGAAAAATAAATCTATTCGAAGCCGCGTCAGGTCTCTAGTAGTCTATATAGGTAGACTAAACTTTTTGAAAAGCTGTGTCTGTTATAAGCAGTGTTGGACTAATGGCTTCAGCGTGCGACTCTTATCCCTGATGTCGTAGGTTCGATCCCCGGCTGTGCACAAATGGACTATGTCTATGTGCGCATTTAAAATTCGATCGTAAGGTGAAGGAAAACATCGTGCGGAAACCGCCTTGCCTTAGACCCAACTCGACGGCGTGAGTCAGGCACAGGAGGCTGCACCAACTTGCCTATTAGATTGTAAATAGTAGACCCAAAAAAATTACGTGCGCCCTTACATACATATAATTTTAATGATGTATTTTATTATCTCGACTAGGCGACACATAAAGATGAATTATGCTGTCCGAAAAATATGTAAAAAAACGTGTGGCACTCGGGGCTACCGCGGTAAAGCTATAGCATAGCATTTTTTATGCGATTATAATTATTTATGCAGTATTGTTCTTCTTTGATATTAATTCAAATTAATTAAATTTGTGCGTTTTTTAATTAAATTGAAACAATTAAGCGCACCTGCGCTACGTCACCGATCACGCCAGACCGATGTGAAACGCCGTATGCGTTCTGTCCCGCTCTAACGCGTATTGGCCGCACCTATATATTGTCATCGTGTTAGGTTTATTTTCGTTACGGAATTTCTTGATTCGGTCGCCGCGCTCAAAGCCCGCGATAAAAGCTATGCAATAGCTTAAAAATAGAAAATTAAAACACAATTAATCACTCAAACATCCAAGTCCATCTAGATCACAGCCCGTTTTTGGAGTCGGTCATAATAACACATATACATAGAAACAGAAATCTCAATTTATTTAATACTAGTATAAAATAAAGACACAATTTAAACGTTTAACATTTATTAATATCACAAAAAATATAATACATTGACTTGTATTGTTCGGTTTTCAGTCCAGTCACGAGGTCTACCTAAAATAAAAAAGTCTTATGTATACCTGTATTATTGATCACCGTATGATTGTGAATATCCGAGAGTATAGTCTTTTTATCACAGGGCAAATTAGGTAAATACATTTCGTAATTGTAGTTGCTGAATTATCAAAATAAAAATCCAAAACTTTCCCTTGTGCCTTGTGAGGTAAGGTTCTTTATTAAATGGCATTTTATTGGATATGTCGCAGCCACCCAGTTTAATTAGGCGTTCAATTAACAGCCTAGACTTTTAACTAAACGGCGCCGTTTAACTAGCGGCCTGAAAGATGTTGAGCCAGTTGATCAAACAGCTAGGCAAATGACTTGGATCGATGACGTTTCATTACTTGCCTAGTCTGTTGACTGTTAATTTTATTTAATTCCACTTTCTGCCACTCTCAAACTGATCTCTTTCGTTCAATAAAAATCAACAAGAGTTGGACGTTGGTACAATGGAAGAGTATAGTGACAATAATAATGTGAATTTGACTCAAGCAATTTAATTTTAAAAGAAATATTTTTATATCATATTATTCATCTTTTTTATTTCTGCCAAATAATCACTCTTTCGTACGAATTTACATAGCCAGACAATTTATTAAATATTGTAACGAACGCTACAGTTGAATATCGTCCAGGCCGCTAGTTAAACGGCGCCGTTTAGTTAAAAGGCTAGACTGTTAAATGAACGCCTAATTAAGCTAGTTGGCTGCGACATATACACTAAAAACAAATTGAATTATAAGAATTTTTGTAACTTGTCCACGGACAGATTACTATTTGTATACAAAAGATTTTCACAATCATATGGTGACATGAATGTTTAGTTTAATGAATAAAAAGCAATGAAGTCAGGAAGTTTGGAAATATAGTGAAAAACCCTACACCAATTCTTGCCAAGTTATAAGCTAAAGTATAAATAAGTTTAAACTCATAATCACTATCGAATATCTACTCTGACAACCAACACTATCGTCCATCTTTCGTTCGTTAGACCAGGTGGCGTTTTTAACAATATGTTAAGAACTAAGATTATGCAAAGTATGACTTCTGTATGTATATGTCGGAGCAATGGCGCTGGGATCAGCTGCCATTTTTAATTATAATTTAATAACATCAAAGTCAAATTAGTTAAAAACCGTTATATGGTTTATTTTATTTTTATTTACCAATTTTAATAGATCTACAAATTAACGACTATTTCAATAGTCTGTAGTAATTCATATAACGGTCCTCGCCATTGCTCCGACATAATATATATTTTAAATACGGGAGTCATAGTAGCTATGTCTCGCCAAATTTTGCTCTTACTCGGTGCTGCTCTTATATTTTGGTTATCTCTGTTATGACTATAGATTAGATAAGTGACAAACGATGATAAATGATTTTGTATAAAATATTTTTTGCTTAGTATAAGGATTGCAAACAAGCATACGGGACGCCCAAAATGAGCAGACGTCGCAACCCATGGACACCCATTGTAGTGGGTGCGTTGCCGGCCTTTAAAGGAGGAGTATCTATCTTTAAACCCTCAAAGAAGGTCCCCATCGGGAGTCGATTTCACAGTTCGCTAGTTTGCAAAAGAAGTGTGTCTTGTGAAGCCAGCTGTAGAAGACTTCCAGCCATCAAGGTGATGCTGATGAAATTTTGAAAACCTACGGCTATTTTATTAATTTTAAGGGCTTGTTTCCCTTATATATCTATATGTTCATGAATCAGTTTTGGAATACAAAATCAAAGACAAAACGATAGCATTTCGCATACAATCGTTTAACTTCGACAATAGTTTCACTGTTAATGTTAGCGAATGAAAAAGCTGTTAGTTAATAAAATCGAACCATACGTGAGGTCGTCGCTCTCGAACTTCAAACACTGGTAACAAAAGAAAAATACTTATTCAAATAAAAATTAAAATTTGATGCAAATTAAAATAATTCTAAATATCACTTAATTATACCTATAACCTTTTATACCATTCGTAATCGCTACGAGTCGTAGTTTACATAAGAAATAAAACAGTCTAATTGAACCGTATAACTACAGTATTTATGTCTCTTTTTCTCACAGCGTAAACACATTTGGAGAAAAAGAGTAGTAATAAATGAGCATTTAAATTTATTAATACTTACTTATATTTATTAACATTTTGTTGCATACAGCAATATAATACAGTTGACATAATTAAATGAAAAGGAGGGCAACTGGCGGCCTTATCGCTTTCGAGCGATCTCTTCCAGGCAACCAATGTGAGAAAAAACTTTAGACAAGAAGTGCAAAAATACATAAGACTAGAACGGAAATGAATGGAACAAAACAAACCAATTAAAATATATGCAAAAAGCGAAATGGACAATATTAAAAATGTGATTTAATCATATAATATGTGGAAAAAAATGAAGCCCGTATTTGGAGAAAATAAATGAATTTTAAATAATCTCATCAGATCAGGGTTTTTCCCACGACTAGAGCCAGGGCGTCTCCTGTGAGTCTCGGACCTCGGCTTGGGCAGTCGCGGGGTGGTCAATCGCCTGAAGGTCAGGACGGAAGCTCACTGGAGTGAGCGAAGTACGCAGTAAAGGTCCTCGCCTTCCCCGCTGAAGGCAGTTTTTTGTTCTACTTATAGTGCCGTCTCCTTGCGAACGTTGGCGATCATCGTGGCAAGTTTCATTTTGGATGCCGCGCTTCTAAACAATGACTAGGACTACTTTGACCAAACCATTGTCTTTTCATAGTTTTTCAACAAAGACGTGCGTCTAAAGCCAGGTTTCCTACTATCTGCCACATGATTAGTTGAAGGAGCTCGTATTTTTTGGAGTTACGTAAAACATGTTCAAAATTAAGTTTCCAGGCAAGGCAGATTTTTACCCTTATCTAATTTTGCCGCAATTGCTGGGCGGACGGCTTTCAATTTGTCATTAGCTATATAAACATATTGGATCATCCGGATCCGTTGGGACATGTCGGGGACTCTTCTTTTTTGTCGAAGAGGGTAAAGTATTTTTTTTTTAATGGGATATCGCTGCTGGCCTTAACCCTTAATGGCCTTTACAGCTCAGCCGAAATGGGTAGAATAATTATTGAACATTATCAAAGCGCGTTGTTAACGCGTGTTATTGTGACGGCAGCGCCATCTCTTGACAAAATAATCAGTTTTTATGAAAAGTGTCGGTTGTTTCAAACACTACTAAAACTCGTAGCCATTATTACGATTGGTAATTAATTATATATAAAATAATTAGTACATAAAAATAAGTAACAAAGGTCACAAAAACGTACCATTTCGCTCGCTTCGACCAGTCTTTGGGCGTCCAATGCAGACATTTTGGGTCTATCCGCAACAATTTCCTCTCCATCGCCTTCTGATGTTGTTGCACTGTCTCCTGTAATATTTAATATTTGTTTCTGCTTTCGTATGTGTATGTTTGTATATTTCAACTAAATGAACCGTCCAAATTTAATCAAAAAGTTCAGTGGTTTTTGAGATGCACAATTTTTGGACATGTATAACACATTGACAGGTATATGAAGGAATTTCGTATGTTTGTGTGTACAAATTAACAAAAAATGTACAAATTTATCAAAATCCGTTTTATCAATCCATTATATTGTATAGTCCAGCTTAGTGAACCGTTCAAATTACATAAAAATGTGTTCAGTGGTTTTTGAGATACAAATTTCTACAAGTCTAACAGATATTTGAAGTATTTTTTTTGTATTTCTTTCTACGTCAAAAACATTGGATTTGACACAGGGGTTGTCAGGTGTATGACATGTCATTAATAATAAAAAAAATCTTATACAAAATCATACCTTATTAACGGAAATGATATATTGCCCCTTATAATAGTTGATGAGGTTTAAATTCTGAAGCGTACTTATAACATCCTCCTTTTTTATGCTGGTTAATTCACATATTTCACTGAAATTTGACAAATGCATAATTTAAAAAAATATCTATTAAGTTCTAAGTACTCTAAAGGCTCTAAAATGTTTGTCTGTATGTTTTTTTTAGGTAACAGTATTTTGTATTCTGCTATTGTATAAATATAGATATTTAGGCTTTAAGGCATGTGCTAAAATTCGGAAGTGTGTGTAATGTTTGTCCACAAATTTATCAGAAACGAACGGAACGATCACTTACTAAACAGTCCATTATCATCAAAGTAGGCTTTGAGATATGTTAATATTGTTATTCTATATCTCATCAATATAAAACAAACACGCAAACCAAAAACCGAGTATACTCGGATGCTTCGTACCCGGATATAGGTATGTTATCTAAAGCTGGCGGTTTCAACACATTTACACTTTGTGCTTGTGTAGTGTCTGTGAATAAGTGGGAGGCGTGATGTCACACTGAATATGCATCATGAAAAGACTGTCCGTCTCTCTCGCGCTCGGTCAAGCTTATGAGTATAAAAGAGACAGTTATTGTTTTGCTTTTGTTACTGTTTATGTTGATCTTTTTCTCATTATTATTGTCTGTGACTGTTTACCAATTTGGTTGGAGGTTACAATACTTTGCAAAAAAATTCTTATGAAATATATTCCGTCTAAACATTAACAGAACAATCTCGTGAAATGGTGCACAATGTTTTTAATTATTTTAAGCATCTTAATAAAAACAGTTTAATGAAAAAATGTTATTTTTAATTTGACATCGGATGCGACTGGTGTTTCTAGGAGGAGTATTGATAGAATTGTTAGTGAAGTAAAAGTGTGTTGAGCTAGATGGAGCTTATGTCGAAACAAACTACTCTTTTACGTTCTTGGTCGGGCTTAGAACTTTTGTATCCACCCTCGTATGCACATAATATTTATATGTATTTGACACATTTTTATTTATTTACAACCCACCCAACCTTACTAAAACCAGAGTAGACTAAATATAGCTTGGCAAAAAAAGTCATATTTTTAAACATACTGTATAGTGAAATTGCATTAGTCTGAGTACTGTGAACGCGCCAGCTTTCGATAGCCGACCTATACTGGCATCTCATACTCACTTGATAGTAATAAGTGGTTTCTCATTATCTGCCACTGGTTTTATACTAATAAGTATGTCGAGTATTGTCTGCGCCCAATAACTTCTGTATGAGAGAAGTCCAAGATCCGACAGTGGCTTCTCCGGGGAACCAGTCTTGCCTTCGAACTTCGACAATTCATAACCTAAAAATGTATTAACGATTTAATATTGGTTTATCTTTATGATTTTAAACTAAATTTGGTAATTCTATAATTTATTAGTGTAAATTGTAATTTTACTTTTGATTTGATGGAATAGATCGCTTGTTAACGATAAGGCCGAAGGTTACACTTAATCTAATATATAAAATGTGTCTCTAATATAATCGTGTCGCGGTGTTTGTAGTTAAACTCCTCCGAAACGGCTTGACCGATTCTCATGAAATTTTGTGTGCATATTGGGTATGTCTGAGAATCGGACGACATCTATTTTTCATCCCCCTAAATGTTAAGGGTAGTCCACCCCTAAATTATTATTTTTTTAATTTTTAGATAAATTTTAATTTCTTTATGATACAGCATTAAAAAATACATACAACCCCTAATTTTCACCCCTCTACGATCAACCCCTATTTTTTATTATAAATGATATACATCGCAAAACGGCGTTTGCCAGGTCAGCTAGTAATTTATGTTATTTGTTTTTATTCCAATAATAATAATTTATTTATTGCAAGAATATGGTACAAAAATGTTAAGGTGGTACAATCGCAAGTTCGCATATTCTGCCACATACAATGGCGCACAAATTCGTTTTAAGGAATTTTATTTTACATTATTAGTCAATGTCAATTCTTATATTATCTGTATCGTACATATCATATCATACTTTAATTACATTAAGATCAATTACACTGTCTCACGCAAATAATCATTTATTAAATTTTCCAAAATTAATACACTAAGTCGCTTTTTAAAGACTCTAGACGGAAGATCTTTTAATTCTTTTGGTAATTTATTGTAAACCTTAATTGCCATACAAAAGGTGATTTTTCCGAAACATTTCGCAAATGTTGCAAAAGCATTCTTTGAGACATTCCCTAAAAATCAAAGTAAAACTATTTAAAAATAAATCTTATTACACTGTTTTGACTGCCCTTTGGCTTAAGTTAAATAAGAATAGTTAAGTTCTTTATAGAAGCTCAATACTCACTAAATTCTATAAGTAATGTACCGTAACCCTTCCTTTGGTAAGGAGGCAAAGTTAAAATACACGCCACGTTATAATCCTCCGTACTTTCCTTCTCCTTTGAAAAATAACCAACTATGTGAAAACCTGAAAAAAAAATAACGTTTAGTTTATATGGATAGTTCAACCTTTGCTGGACGGTTTTGATCTTTTCCACGCCTTTTCAAATAGAAGATAAAAAAGCGCTAGCAGGAAGCGGATGGAGAAGGAAAGAGATATTTATTATTTTTTTTGTTTAAGAATAACTTTATTTCTCATAAGAATTGCATACAAAATTCACTTACTGAGAAACACATATTTAAAACTAAGATTAAAAATTAGAGCGCACAGATGTAGGTACATATATAAAATAAGAAAACAGAACAGCACCAAAAATGTGGGTAGACATAAAAAACTTGGTCAGTCAACCAAGCGAAACACGGATGTTAGAATTTAATTTTTTTCTAGATGTGGCATTGATGGCATAGTCTGATATAACAAGTTTATATTGTTTATTTTATTATTTTTCATAAGACTATTTTATTTTTAGTTTATTCCTATATTTATATATTTATGGTATGTACAAGGTTTATAAAACATTTTTACAAATTAAAATCACTTATAGGCAGATTTTGGTCAATATCAAATACAATTCTTTAACACCGTGAGTGGTGTTAGTTTAAAGTTCTTAAACATTATACATTTCAAGTGTTATCGCATTCTTGTCAATATATATATATACATATTATATTTTGATCACTTATTTGTATGTAATTAATGTGTAAGTTTTTAGAAGCTTTTTAAATCGGGCATAATTTTGTTCTGCTTTTATAACTGATGGTAACTTATTGTAAATTGTAATTATTCTACTGAAATTATTTTGTACACAATGTTAGTAATACTCGTTTACCTAATTTTACTTCCCTGAAATAGATAGCAACAACCATGAAGATAGTTTTAGTTTATTTTGTAATTATACAAAATAAAAGTTAATACAGCTTAAACACAAAAAAAGAGTAGTAATAATACATCTCTGTTTCACTAAGGTCATAATATTTCTACGATGAGTGGTAATACTTTATTACGTTCTAGACATTCGTCATAATTACCGTCGTAATGTGAAATTACTGTGTCTCCGTTATTATTCTTAAACAGTGAAACAATCGTAAAACGCTTTAGTCTAATTAGATAAGATAAATTACTGTAATGTACATTTAGTAATTTTTTAACTATTTACACTAAATACATAATCAACAATGTTTAAATCGTTAAATAATAAAAATAACTTTCATTTAGCTATGTAATGTACTTAGTATTTTTTATGTAATGGGAAACAAACGGGCAGGAGGCTCACCTGATGTTAAGTGATACCGCCGCCCATGGACACATTGCCGGAAGGCTCGCAAGGGCGTTGCCGGCCTTTTTAGAATTGGTACGCTCTTTTCTTGAAGGACCCTAAGGTAGCGTTCAAGTTTTATGTAACGTTTTTCCTTTTGTAAAACGTTACGATGCGGGGCGGGAATTGAATTACGCGTTAATGTTATGGTAGGGGAGCCCACGATGCTAAATGGGGATTTACTCGAGCGTCGTAGAGACCTATTGGGATGCAAAGCTTAGATAATAAGAAGAAAAAAATGTTATATGATAAATTCCTTTTCATCGGTGGGGGAAGCGGCTATAGATAGTTAAATATGTAAAAAAAAACTGTTGCATGGACATCCTCGAGCGCGTCAGATATTGATAGCATCTATGCCCTTCGTATTTTTAATAATGTACGTATGTTAATCTGATCGTTTGCATGATGCGGGTGGTTGTATTTAAGGGTTGAAAATGAAAAAAAAAAAATTTATCGAGCGCGTCAGATTTTCTAAGGGAGTGTTAAGTGCACCAAAAAAAAGCTCTCATTCACTAATCTGACGATTTCGATGGGACGCAAAAACACAGGCATTTTCGTAATTTGCAAAAAAAAATCGCAATTTTGAAATACTCAAGCGCGTCAGATTAAGATATATGTGGTTCATCTTTATGTTCTAAACATACTGTCTCATAATCTGACGATTATCTAGAGGGATTCGCCTGATCTGACAAAAAAAATTTAGAAAAACGGTTCACCTAAAGGGCCATCCCTGCAACTTCCCGCTAATTCCATTCCTGGGCGCTTAAAATTGATATTTTGAGCTCGCTGAGTTCAAAGAAATAACATTTCTATGCATTTGAGCTCTCCCAGCTCGAAAGTCTGATAGAAGTGTCATAGAACACTATTTTTGGAATTTTCAAACCGCAATAACTTTTGAATGGATCAAGCAATTTTCACGCGGTTGGCGGCATTCGACGCAGTTTTATCATTCCCATAAGTAATTTTGCAATTTTAATTGATCGAACCACAAATTTCGGAGTAATCCCGAATAAACACTTTTTCGGGTTTCTTTCGTTCACGATATCTCTCGAACGAATAAACCGCTTTTGACCAGCTTAGTGGCGATCAACGTGGTTTTTCAAGCTCAAAGGCGGATTAGTTTTTGAAGTTGATCGATAAAGAAACCACTTTAAAAAAAATATTTCTTATTTTTTTAAGATTTTTCAAAATTTCTCAAAATCTATCGGTCCGAATCGGTTCAAATTCACAGGAAATGTAATTTTGAGGGAAATATTTAGAACGCCGTTTAGGAGATTCCGATCGGTTTAAGGAAATGTAGGCATCACGCAGCTGCACGCATTTAACTTTATCGACGAATTTTTGTTATTTCGGCTTGCGGAAATCGTCAGATTATATATTTTTCATTATTCTTGAATTATTTCCTTCAAAATAAAAAAAATTAGCTACGCTCGAGAATGTCGAGATGACGTTTTTTTTTACAACTTTGTTGCCCTCCCCTTTTTTCCGTCACTCTCAAATTGTCAGATTAGTGGAATATACACTTTTAGGATGTAATTAACTCACCCTACCTTAATCTGATGCGCTCGGGAATTTCTGATGGTCAATTTTTTTTTACTAATCTGATCCTGTCTCCTTCACAGGCGGCCTTATATATGGACCTCATGTTTTGTGGAGGTACTTAACCGAGTACAAGCTATCCCCCTGTATATTAATCTGCCGCGCTTTAGTAAATCCCGAAATCCCCTCTTGGGCTCCCCTACCATTAATATTATTTCGACTTTCCAGTACTTTACACCAGATAATGGTAACTTTTAGGTATAAAGAGTCACTGGGTGGTCACGAAACGTTTTAGTATTGGGTACAGAAAAACGTTACGGCGCGTTACATGGGGGGGTCAATAATCTCCCTAAGTCGAATTGGTTCAGAAATACTTCAGTGCCCAGCTGGTTCTTAGTAATAGCATTACCTACTTTTAAAAAAAACAATTGCTTTTACGATTTTTTTCCCCGGGAAAAGCGATATGTGCAATACAGTATTTCTCTTTAATAAACTTACCTCTTGTGTCAAAATCCGTCATAACATAGAAAAGGAAGGGATCGGTGTCGTAGTACAGAGTCTTGTGGTCCAAAAAAAGTTTCGCTAAAAGGCATAAGTTCTGCGCGTACGTCTTGTTCTTTCTGCCGTCGATTTCGAAGAAGGAAATACTTCCTTTTCTGTATATTTCGTTTCCGGGAGGGTGTTTTAGCTTACATTTTATCTGAAATTAACGTTATCAAAAATATCATGCATAGAAAAAAAATTAATACAAAAAATAAACAATCGATTTCATTTTTTTGGGTTTAGCATTGATGATTTTTCATAGAGTACAAAATACAAAATAAAAAAATCAGTGGCGCTAGAAACTTTTTACGTCTGGGCCTCAGATTTCTTGTTCATTCACGATCATTTGTAAATCTAATAGGCAAGGCGACTTTTGGTCTAAGGCAAGCCGGTTTCCTCACGATGTTTTCCTTCACCGTTCGAGCGAATGTTAAATGCGCACATAGACAGAAAGTCCATGAGTGCACAGCCGGGGACTAAACCTACGACCTCACGGATTGGAGTCGCACGCTGAAGCCACTAGGCCAAACTTTTCATATAGTAGTATACTCGTACATAAAATATTTTATGAAATGTGTTTGAATTTAGTAAATTATGTGTCAGGTATTAATTTTACAGTTTTACGAAATTTTTCATAGATTCACACTCTTTCTGTCTTTATCGCTCTCGGACATATATATAAATGCGACAAAACATTAAGTATTTATACTTACAAGGTGACGGTCTAAGCACTTTTTACTTTTTCTATATTTCAAACAAAATTCACATATATAGATACACGGCAGGTTGACCATTTCCTGAAACGAGAAAAAACATGTAAGATTCCTGAATTCTTTAGAAAATAATACTAATTACAAAATTGATATAGTTCAAGTATTACGTAAGCAGATATTGCTGTCAGCAAAAGTAAGTAAAACTCTCAAAAATAATAGTACATTAACCTATTAATTTTTTGTAGGAATCCTCGAAAACGCATTTCGTTTTCAAGCATCGACAATGTGTGGGTAATGTGTTAAAAGGTAAATAATTACTTATGACGTAATCACCAAATAAGAAAATTAAAGACCCCCCCCCCTGACCTGTAGTGCTTGCGAAATACTTGAACGGCCACATAAATCTGTTTCGGAAAAAACCCTATTTTTTATTTGTTAATTAAAATCTAATGACTTGAACTCTGAGGTTTATATAAAGGAAAATTCACAGGAAAACCTAAAAAGATTTCATTCCAGAAAACCGAACAGTCTCTGGGGTAGCATAGCAAAATGTTCCATGTTGGTATGTACTAAAGAGGTAGGCCAAGTAAAATCACATTAAGGAGAAACGAAGTTCGTGGGGGCAGCTAGTTTTTCTATATATTTATGTTCTTACTAATATTTGAAAGATTGCCGGAGAGGTTTTTGCATGATCTGAGATTTATTTATTTATTTGATTTTAAGTATTCCTAGGCTATTTATAATAATAGCTTAACAGCATATTTGCCCCACAATACTCATTTAAATTAAAATAATTATAGGTAAAAAAATAATTAGTTAAAAATAAACCTTAGATAAAAATACAGTTTTTGTTTTACTAACACATGTCTAATTGGCTATTTGACAGGGTTTTAAAAACAATTTCAGATTTATTAGTGATTCTAGGATCAAACAAATAGCGATTTTAAATTCTGTTAATAATTACAAGAAGCTTCTTAAGACAAGATGACCTCGCAACAGTCACATAACATCGTTTCTCAACCATTTCTATGTCGCGACCCACGAAAAAGCCAAAAGTTAAGTACAACACGTCTTGCAACCACGTCACTGTAAAATTATAATAAAATATACATAGCGCGCTATTTTTAACGAATATTTTGTACCTATAGTTTGAATTAATTATTTTTCAACAGACTGCGACCCCCTCTTAAAACAAACCCGAAAGGTTGCAACCCCCCTGGAGAAAAGATATATACCACATATTTTGTAAAAACGTAACGTTTATTTATATAAACGTCGAGATTTATGTGTTAATTATCATTTTTGACAAATAAAGTGAGATTTCGATCTAAAACAATCTTCGGCAAAATCAATTTTGATAGTATTAGGATTAGATAGACAAAGATATATTCACGTCAACGTCGATTTGACTAATCTGTGATCGTTTAATGTCACTATGTTAAACATGGCTTCTTAAGTAATAAATAATAATAAAATAAATTAAAAACAAAGATTTGTCCTCTATCAGCAGGAGGCAGCACCATCACATTCTCGTGGGAATAACACGCAAACACATAGTCGAAATAACTAATATCACCGCATACACGAATTCAGAATGAACGACCAGTCACCACAAGTAGCACCCGTTCACGAGTATGACGCATGGCCAGCCATCGGCCTCAAGCCGGCCTTGTACCAATGTAAATAAATAACACATTTCATACTAAGAAATAGCCCTTTAAGTATTACCTACCTGTGGATAAGGCGCGAAGTACCAAGGTCGTATCCTATGTCTGCCCAGTTCAATCATTTCTATATTCTTCATCCTTGTGACCACATCATCGTGCCCATGGGCGAGCATACTCCCCGACTGACGAGGTCGGGTGGTCGGCGTCGCCGTCCCACTTACTGTTTCGTTCTCTATCGACTCTGTTGTTTCTGACTGAAATTTAAAAAAATACAAACACTAAAGTAAGAACAAGAAATGGGTTTAACTTATTTCAAGCGAATTCTTGTTTCATTAACTATCCCATTTAAAAAAAATCATATAATGAAAATTAAAGTTTAGCGATTGTTTTAAAGGACTTTTTTTTTAATATATAAATTTTTATAATATATATTTTAGATATAAGATTTTGTAAAATAATTAGTAGTGTGTGATGTCGTAAGCAAACATAAGATACATGTATCACTTATTCCACGTCATTAAGCAGCTGGTTTCACAGTGATGGAGTACATGTACAAATATCATGTAGCAAAACTAGCCTGCTTTTTAAAGCAAAAAAAAACATATTTAATTGTAACTTTTATATATTATAGACCGATATATAGCTAAAAAAAAACAATGTTTTGCCGGCCTTTTAAGAATTGGTACGCTCTTTTCGTGAAGGACCAAAACAGGTCGAATTGGTCCCTGGAAAAGCTGGTTCCACATAGTGGTGGTGCGGGGCAAAAACGGCCTTAAAAAACGCTCAGTTGTGGAAAGTCGAGGTGATAGGCAACAATACCCAGATATATATTGTGAAGTCAGTCGACAGGTTTTTGAAGTCGGATTTTCTTCGTCTATAGTAGCGTTTCCCAACCTTTTTTGTGCCACCTTAGCCTAGAATTCTTATTCCCCCCTTCGTAAGGTACTTAATTTTTAATATAAAACACTGAATTATTCACTTAAAAAACTAGAATTATGATAGGCAAGAAATTACTAGGAAATTGTTAACGAAACACAGTAAATAAATTTTCAAAACATAATGAAATTTAAATTTGTAATAATTTTAATAAATTTTCGATTTAAAATCAAATAGTCCCCCTGTGGAGCGTGGGCCCCTAGTTGGGAAACACTAGTCTATGGTCTTCTCGCTTGAAGTTACGATTTATAATTGAATTACTATCAACACTAATAAACGGTGAATAGAAGAAATAGAAGCGAATGGATAAAGAAAGCCATGGATGGTAAAAACTGGAGGATGCCTTTACCCGTGAAGGGGTTTCAATGGTACCGAAGAAAAATATCAAGAAAAAAATGTATATAACAAATCTAATAACTGATTGGAAATAAATGGGCTTTATCAAATCAACAACAAGCAAGTAATAGTCTTACCGTAACAGACACATCGTTATCAACAGAAACAGCCTTCCGTTTCCTATTAATTTTCTTCTGTAACGCGGCCGCCAGTACAGCGCCGCCGTTGACTAGTGATGAAGAATCATGACCGAGGGTCGGGCTAGCTGGCCTCGATATGAGCTGACGGGGCTCAATACCAACTATAAGAATAATAATAATTCAATGGCGCTACAACCCTACATCTTTGGGTTACAAGTAGGTGATCATCCTTACATATTTTTTGGATTTTAAAACTTGTCGGCTTCCTCATTACGTTTGCACCGGTCTACAGCCGTGATTCGAATGAACGTTGAATTAGGCATATAATACATTTATTTAATAAGACAATTATAGTTCGTTAGTTATCTTGTGTTACTTGCAATATTGTCTTAAATTTGTTTATTGTCTTAGATTGCTTTCTTTATATATAATTTTTCAGTGCAGTGTGTGTCATGTCGTGTCGTCGGCTCATTGGTCTAGAGGTTAGGACCCCTGACTGCGAATCCATGGGTCCCGGATTCGATCCCCGGCTGAGACAAACATCGATGTGATGAGCATTTGGTGTTGTGCTTAGGTCTTGGGTGTTTAAATATGTGTTTATGTCTATCTATCTATAATATGTATGAATATCCATTGCCTAGTACCCATAACACAAGCTTCACCAGCTTAGCATGGGACTAGGTGAATTGGTGTGAATTGTCCAATCTTATTATTATATATTATTATTATTAGTGTAAGGTTTCAGCGAACAACACTCATTCATAAAGTTTGAATCAATGGATTTTATATGTGCGTTAACACTCTCTCGTACGGTGAAGGAAATCGTAACGAAACCGGCCTTACTCATTGCCTGACGCATTTCACTTATTGCGTCTAAGGCTGCTTGCCTATTAGTAACAAATGATTGTGACCTAAAAGGTTGTAAAATATACAATTCGTGTCAGTGTTTATTTTGTAGATCGGAAACTATTCAATAAAACACCCCCATTTTGAATAATATGGACAAATTTTACTACAACGTTAGCTAAGGACAAATAAGAATTGATTAAATTGTTGATTAAGTTGTTAAATACCTTCAATGAAGTGCTCATTAACGTCTTAAAAATAACATTGTTCACAACCAACAATTTAGTTTGAAATTGATATTTTATTAAGGTATAATTAGCCTTTTTCGATACGTTAAAGTAACTAAAAGAAACCAATTAATATTATTATATCCTTAAAGAAAATTTTTAAAATACAAGCAGAATGAGTGGAGAGTGAGAACTTAAAAGAATCTTATAATATTTTTAGCCTGAAATTCTCATTCCAGCCAATAAATTATTTAATAAGTACGGTAGACCCCGCACTCCAAATCTCTAAGTGCTAGAAGTCTTAAATAACATACCAGGTGTAAACTTTTGAGCTGAGCCATTAAGTGCATGGTTGGAATTACTTTTTTCAGGTATTTTTGGTGGTATTTGGATAATTTCTCTGTGTGGAGTGCTTTGTGACTTCGGTGGTTCAATACAGACATTATCATCTGCAGACAAAATAAAAAGATTAATAGTGCAATATAAGCAATGCATTAAAGGAAAATAATTAAATAGGAACAGGTTTACGTAACATTCCGTTTCTAATGCGAGTCCAGCCAATTATTATATATCATTGATGAAGGGGCTGCACATTTTATGGTGTTAAATGAAAAGAAATGACAATTATATTTATGCTACACAATTTTGATGTTTAATTATGATGTTAACATTGTAACAAACAAAAATCTATTTTTTTTTAAAGTAACTGATTATTCTCTGATGACTCTATTATTGATTTTCTTCGTTAACATATATATATATGCATGTATTTACAACTATTAGTGTAATTAAGAAAGCTGCACCTAATTTTAATGTGATTTATAGCTCATGCAAAGCTTTTAGACCTTCCAACACCCAAAACTTCAATAAATCGAATAAAAAAAACTTAAGCCACTACTCTAATGTACTAAAATAATACAAGGATAAATGGACAGGAAAATAAAATATATCACCATGCAAAAATAACAAAATTCCAGTAAGGTTACTTAGTTTAAATGTAGTAAAATCTTGCACAACTACCAAATAAATTAAATTCTAATAGCAAAACAAACATACTAATAAAAGTAGGCATCACGCCACCTCCTGATCCAATATGTGTCTTCTTTGGAGTAGTTGTCCCACCAGTTGGTGCCCCATCTCTGCGTGGGAACTGAACTTTTCTTGTATCGAGCCATGATTCCTCAACCCATTCATCTAATCTCTTATTAACTGAAATATGTAAAACAAAATGTTATCAGTCACATCTTCATCAATTGATATAGAATCCAAAGGAAATATACTAAACTGACAATGTAGGCAGTATAAGAAATTCAATACAAATATTAAATTTGTAATAGAATTTGTTAGTTGTATTTTAGGAGACACTATCCTACAATCAAATTTTCATGTTATAGTACATATAAAGGATTATAATACGAATTTTCTTACAGTCGACATAGTGAACATAGTATCCTCTCATTCCACTAATATCTTTGATACTTATAATTTCCGCTAAAGGCCAGTCGTCGCCGCCTTGCATTCGAACTGGCAGACGACATCCTTCCACCAAGGAAGCCTAAAACACCATGCATTGTTTAAATGAAAAACTGAAATGTTACATGTGCTTTCTTTATTTTTACTAGAAAATAAATACCGCTGAATCACAAAATGTTGTAACTTCGTCTTCATTTTCAGTAAAACTCATAATAATACTATATTCCTACTAAAAACGATAAAACTAACAATAAAACACCACTCGCATCGCTTTTTTTTTTTTAATTTTATGACCTGGTAACATAGACCTTTACGTCATGACTTATTTGGAATATGTATGTTCATTAATTTGGCGACACTAACTTCACTTCACTAAATTTCATCATCGTCACAGGCTTCTTTTAACGAGGAGAGTGAGAAGGATTATTACTTAATATTTTTGTTAACCTCAAAGATTCTCTTTCTCCGTTGAAATCAATATCTTGTCGAAGAATTAGTAACAGTTTCATTACTGTTGGAATTTCCTTCAGAACTGTATACAATTCCTTTACTTTATTTCCTATTAACTGTAAATCAAAACAGTTCATGTTGATTTTCTTCTTTCCCCCTCTCCTCTTTCTTTCACAAGGCGTAGCAAACACACCATCATTTGGTGTGCCCTCAGCTACGATTCGCCGTATAGTACTACTGGAAACCTCTATAAAGAAATCACAATTATGTACCGAAGAAAAATATAAAATAAACTATAAGTATCAAAACCACTCAGTCCAACTTACCGGTCAACTCTACCACTTCTTGTTTTATGCCATGAGATTCCGGTAGACCTATACATTTTTGAAAGTTATAAATTTCCTGTTATGCATAATAAATGTTTGTATTTTATAGAAAATATAGTCCTGAAAACACACATTCTACTCATTCTATCGACACCACTGTCGCCAATGTATGGCACATTGGTGATGAATAAATGGTAGATATTTTTGGACCCTCAAAATTCAAAGACGTGTGCCGCCCGTATCTCAAAAAGTATTGGAATTTGACTCACTGGAGTCATAGTTTCTTCTCTCCGCGTATTCTCGTCGTCGTCACACAGTGGCACTACGAAGTACGTATACCAATGCCTTGTCACAGGTGACAATTGAAATATCTGTAATCTGTATTCTGTGATAGTTCTTCAATCTCAAATCTCAATTAAAATCAAATTTAAAATAACCTGAAAAGATTATTTAGAAAAGTGCTCTAAAGTAATTTAAAAATTATTTAATTTACTCACACCATTTATCTTAACGTCGCTTTCCAACTGATATTGTGATTTGTGTTTATACAAGGATAATCTTCATTTATTAATAATGGCTGCTTCAGTGGAAATGACCGAAGCTGATCAAATTAAAACGGTATTGTAAAGAATTCTGTATGAAATAGGATGAATTTGAGTAATATGTATAGCTTGTTTGTAACCCGAAATTAAAGAAATTCATTATTGAATGTTTTCACGCTTTTATATTAGTTATTTCTGATACAAGACGGTAAGCACGGTGGTCCCGATTTCGATGACACTAAAATTGCTTTATAAAGTACTAAAGGCCCGTTCTCGATTATTACGAATGTTTATTATTGATAAAATATTATGTATGTGCTTAGAGGATCTTAATACATAGTTATCCTTGTTTTGTAATACTACATCTAAATCTCTCTGTTACAGTTCAAGGACTTTCTTGTTCATTACAATAAGTTATCGGAGTTGTGCTTCAATGATTGTGTTCATGACTTTACATCCAGAACTTTAAGATCAACTGAGGTAATTATTTTTACTATTTACATGTGATACACATTTGAACTTTAAATCACTTTCCAGTTATAAACAAAAGCCTAAATTCCAATCTGTTCCACTGTGATGTCTATTGTTAAAAGAAACCTGGTCTAGAATTGACTTAATAATTTATGTATAAATGTTAAAGACCTATCTAACTATATTAACATATGCCTAGCCTTACCTTTGAATCTTACCTAAGGGCCAAAAAAGAAAGGAAGACAATCTATCTAGTCTATATTCTAATTATTATCTCAATCTTCTCTTAAGATCTGTAAAATATGTCAAACTTCATACAACAAAATGGTTTGACACCTCTTGAAACTAGATTTAAGTTTGATTGACATTCTAGAAAACATAATTTTTAAAAATGTAGAGTTACTCAATGTATATTACTGTTTCACTACAATATGTGCAGAAATATTATGATCAATAAAATACTAATAATTTTAATTTCAGGAAAAATGCATTGCTAATTGTATGGATAAATATTTACGGACAAACCAGAGGGTGTCACAAAGATTCCATGAATTCCAAATGGTTGCTAACGAGAATATGATGGCTTTAGCTCAAAAATCTGGAAATCCTAGCTAAGTTCCTGATGCATATTTAGGATACATATTTATTGTTAGGTTGTTTTGGTTTCAAAATTAGTAATTAAATGTTGTTAAAAATTTGGTATTTTTTCAAATTCAAGTATGTGACATATTTACCATATAGTATAAGATCCCGCTATACAACAACCTTCACCGAGATGCTTATTTAATGAAACTTATTTTATATTTAATTTAATATGTCAATAAATATAATGCATATGGATTGCCTAGCAAATTTCAGTCCAGAGTATGTTTAATTAATATTAAAAAAAAAAAAATTTTTTTATAATTTGCATGTAGTAAATTTTTTGAACTTTTTTCAATCAATATTTTTAATCAGGGTAGTATTATATATGTATCACTATAACCTTCTTTTATACTAAAGATGTATATATACTTTAGTGTCACATAAAAAATATACACATAAATAATTAATTGATTAAAAACAACCTAACGTTTGCATATTCTATGGGCTTCATATGTTCGATTGGTATAGAATTTATCTAATAATCATACCGGTGAAATGTTTAAAAAAATATTTTTTTTTTAAATTAATTAAACATACTCTGGACTGAAATTTGCTAGGCAACCCATATGCATTATATTTATTGACATATTAAATTATATATAAAATAAGTTTCATTAAATAAGCATCTCGGTGAAGGTCGTTGTATAGCGGGATCTTAGACCAATATAAAGAATATTAACCTTGTTGCACAATTACCCCATATGTCTCTTGACCTCACAGTGCATTTGTTTCTTTGATAATTTTTTTTAATGTTTTCTTAGTATGGTGTCAGGCATACTAAGAAACATTTGTTGTAAAAACTGTCATAAATTTCAATACCTTTTCACATTTACAATTGTTAGTTTATTATATGAATACAATTCAAAATTTCAAATGATGTACTCGATCTTGCTTTCATATGTTTTATTGTTGCTATTTTATATTGTTAATGATTTGATTCTTTTGTACATAGATAGTGATAGTAAATTAGTATCGGTGTTTTATATGAGTTAATTGTCTTTGTAAAAAATTTAACATGGTAAACATATTAAACTTTTCTTCGGGCAGGGCTTGTAACACTTTTGTTCAGGGGGTGAAAAGTCCAATACAAACGATGTTTGTGAGCTGGTGTAGTCGAAATGGTAATCATTGAACTTGGCCTCTACACTGTACTTTACGTTTGTACTCGCCGTATCATCACCATCAGTGTTCAGGACATATTTCAGTGGATAAGGGCCTGACGGAGCGTTGCTGACGTTTGAAGGTTTCGTGCATATTGTGTACTGTCCGCCATGTCGAATTATTCGTATTAGGGGTTGGGTGCAAGGCTGTTTGCAACAGGATATGGATGAAGGGCATGCTGCTACGCATTTTGGTGGCATGCAGCATGGCTTGCTGCAAGGCCTGGAGCAGGTTGCTGATGGGCATGGAGTGCATTCGTTTGTTTTCATACAATTATGCTGCTCGATGCGTTTGAGCACTGGACATGAGATGTGGCCTGGCCGCCAACCGCAGCGCAACTAGAAATAGCAAAATAAAGTTGAATTGCTTTTAATTTAATAGATATAGTGTAGGAAAGAAGTTAAGTTAGATGCGAACAAGTCAAGTTCCTTTTGAGTTTTTTTATACTAATTGTACAGCCGTAAACTTTCGTTTATTATGCGTTTATTATGACATCTAAAAAGAACCCGTCGCCTTTAGATTCCTAATTCCCTATTGTAAAAAATTTTGTCATCATTTTAATACCGGCATTGTTGAGTCAACACAATGCGAGCCTTATGGTAATGTGAGTGTCCATGGGCGGCTGTCAGTGGTGTAACAATAGGGTGGCAGGGCTGGCAAAATGTCACGGGGCCCCGCGACCCAAGAGATATTGTGTTCTATGGATGAATGTGAAGTCTCCAACACGCATTGGGCTAGCGTGGGGACTACAGACCATTCCCTCTTGCCTAAGAGAGGAGGCCTATGGCCATTAGTGGAAAATAAACAACGTGTAATTGAGTACGCTGAAAATCTCGAAGTTTAATAAAATGAAACTGAGTACGTGACGATTTTTACTGATAGGGCCCCAACAAAAGAATTTGCCATGGGCTCCAGAGGGTATAGTTACGCCACTGGCGGCTGTACCACTAAGAATAGGTGAGCCTCCTGCCCGTTTGCCTCCTCAATAAAAAAAAATGCGTCAATAGGTAGACATCACGCTCAATCCGCTGTGCCTAAATTTAGTTGAATTTATTTTTAATGGATATAACAGTTGATTCGCTTTATCCTTACCTGATGCTCAGGCGCATCTTTGGCTGTGTAAAGCCATCCCATATGTTTTGGTATAGGACCGGGCTTGACGTCATGTTTTTCTAAACAGTGATGTTTGGGCAGATCACACCGTCCCAGGCAACTTACGGACGATTTATTTGCTATAAAAATACAATTGCTGTCTTTAATAAAATCAATTATATTTAATCAGCCTGTTTAAGTCTAATATGGAATTTTTTTTGGATTGTATAATACACCAAAGATTCAGATACAAATAACGTAATAATAAAAAAATCTTGCTATTTGTAGTATTGTTTCTCACTTCATTATATTATTATTTATTGATTTACACTTCGCTACAAGGGATGCAACGAGCTTCTTGGATAAAATTCAAAATTCAAAAATCATTTAATCATATAGGTTAACACATTGTACACTTATGACTTGTCAGTAAAGAAATACATATCAATGGTTCTAATTTTACATTTAGTGCCAGTTCTCAAATCAAGGGCGTAGAACGGAAGAGAAGAACTGGCAATAAACTCTCCGCCACTCTTTTTAATCGCCATGTTTTTTTTACACAACGTTTGTAAGGAGCTGCAACCATTAAACCATGTTCAACAAGACATCTTAAGTATTAAGATAAATGTATACATACAGTAATGTATTGACTTGCCAGAGTCAAAATATGTAATGATAATAATAAATAGCAGCAGTATAGCCTAGTGGCTTCAGCGTTCGACTCTCATCCCAGAGGTCGTAGGTTGGATCCCCGGCTCACCTACTTGCCACCTACTTACTTACATTAACAAACTGATCATGTAACAGATACAGAAATCTGAGGTTAGACCAGACCTAAAAAGGTTTTAGCGCCACTGATTTATTTTTTATTTAACAAAAATACTTACATCGACCAGGTTTACAGCAGCAGGCCATTTCTGAATTTTCTATGGAATCTAGATAAACACAAATGTTTGTTAATTTTTAATTTATTAGAGTTAATCAACGTTTTAGTTAAGCAAAGCTCAAGCATTCAAGTGTACCTCTAGGCCCTGAAGCTACGTATCTAGGCGAAGATTTTCATTCTGCGCAATTAAAATGTTTCAGTGAAACAATGGCATCTACTTAGATAAATTAAGTCCTATCGTATAAACTAAGTCATCAATCTTTATCTGTATTGCTATAATTACGTAATTATATAGATAAAGAGATTGTCTTACTGTTTACCTAGAAATAACTGCATATATACTCACTTTTGTATGGTTTATGGTAAAGAGAACATTTTCGCTCTCATTATATTGTCCAGCTAGAGAAGTTTTCGAGGAAAATTTGTTTCCATTTTAATTTTTATGTAAAAAAATCATGATTAACATGACAAATGTGAAAAAGGTGCCAGAATTTTGATTGTCATAATTTCTTTTTGCTAACTGCTTGTGATATCAATAGTAATAGTAATAGTAGCCTTTTTGGTGGTATGAAAGTAGCTAACATCTTTTTTGATAAAGTAAGCAACATTAGGAAAACATTTCAATAAAAACTATATTAGCTATATAGCATACGTATTATATGCTTAGTAAATATTACTTTTTATACAATTTAACTGAATATACACAAGTTTTTTTAAAATTATAAGGAGCTCCAAATGGGCCATGGGGTCGGCTCGCGATCCGCGACTGTGTCGTACTTCGTAGTAAGAAAAAAGTATTATGGCCACGGGGATTCACAGTTCGTGAAACTCTGATGGAAAAAGGAGTCTTAGGTTCTGAATCTCACTCTAAAACTCACTGCGATTCGTAACGGCAGCGCTTAGACGTTTCGTTGCGTTCAGAAAATGCGTGATCAGCTGAAGCCTTCGAAACTTCGAGTTCAATAATATGATTTGTATTATATTTAAATAAGTAGACATTAGATTAATTAAGTGTTAACGTAGATATAAGGGCCACCAGGAAAAGGGAGCGTTCAAGTATTACGTAACGAATTTTTCCCTTTGTAAAACGTTACGTTGCGGGGCGGGGATTGAATTACACGTTATTGTTAATATTATTTTCGACTTTCCAGTACTTTACACCACATAATGGTAACTTTTAGGTATAAAGAGTCACTAGGTGGTCACGAAACGTTTTACTTTACTTGGGTACAGAAAACGTTACGGCGCGTTGCATGGGGGGTCAATAATCTTTAAAAATTGCGTGACGTAATACTTGAACGCTCCCAAAGGAAAGAGAGTTTGCCCTTTTGCACGGTGAGCTGACGAGCTTAAGGAAGTTGGTGGAGAATATTGGGAGAAAAATGTTCAAGACAGGAAGAGATGGAGCCAATTGGAGGAGGCTCTAAAAGAGGTTCATGAAAAAATAATTGTATGTATATATATAATTTATTTAATTTAAGTGTGTGTAAGTATATTTTGTGAATGTTTCAAGGAATAAATACGGCTTAATTATTATTATTAATTATTTAGATAGATAAGATTAAATGTATATTTGGTAAGTCATAGCCTTCATGTAGTTATAGTTTTCGGCAATAAGTTTGCAGGCAAAAGTACGTGCACAAAATATTCTCCACATAAAATGTACCTATAACAGTAATTTGCGTAACGTAACTAGAACATAATTTGATAGTTACTAACTAGCAATCGAATTATACTGGTAATCAAGTAATATTTCCTATTTGTGTCCTGCTCCATGGACAATTAAACTAGACAAAATCAATTTGATTGATAGGTTTGTATTTGCTTTTATTTTTCTAATTTTTTAAATGAAATCAACTTTGACGTAGCTCACACTGTTTGACTGTAACGCTGGCCGCAATACACGGACCGCTCGAGCAGTTCCTATGAATTTAGTATGGAGACTGCAGATTTCCGTGCGGCGACCGCTCTAGAGCAGTCGGTCTCGGCTGCAACTTGCGGTCCGTCTATGGCGACTTAAAGTTAATTATTTCCTATTTAATAAAGAATAATGTAAACTATAGAGTTGCAATATTTGTAAATATGTGAGCACCATGTATCTACATAATAATATAATTAACTTCTGCATTGTTTTTATAACACCATGCGCCTATTTTTAGTATAGTAGTTCTAGGTTATTCATATAATTATCAAATAAATGTTTACAAAATATTGTAATACTATTTTAAAATAATAAGTATGGAGTTGCTAGCCCATTATTCTCCATATGAAACTACTTTTTGGAAGGGGCAACTAGAGTTTTTTTTTTAAATATTTGTCAGTGGCGTAACTATACCATCTCGGGCCCGTGGCAAATTCTTTTGATGGGGCCCTATCAGTAAATTTGTCACGTTGTACTCAGTTTAATTTTAATATACTTCGATATTTTCAGCGTACTCAATTACACGTTGTATATGTCCATAGGACTCCTCTCTTAGGCGAGAGAGAATGGTCGGTAGTTCCAACGCTAGCCCAATGCGTATTGGAGACTTCACATTCATCCATAATATCTCTTGGGCAGGGGCCCTTGGGTGGCCCCGTGGCATTTTGCCAGCCCTGCCACTCTATTGTTACGCCACTGATATTTGTACTGTAATTTTGACTTTCAAAAGTACCATTTTAATAGGCCTAATTAAATAAATGATTTGACTTTGACTTTGACACAGTTACAGCGAGTTTAAGCTAGTTTTGATTTTTTCTTAGCATTCTTAATATTTTTTTCCTTTAATGTTGTTCTTCGACATATTCCCGATATAAGCAATCTAAAAACAGCATATAATAAAACGATAGCTATAGAAAAAACGCTAATAACGTCAAGGCATAAATATTGATACAGGGGGGTGTCGACGGCTGCAGTTTTATAAGTGATGTTCGGGTGACGAGCTACGAACTCAGTCCAGTAAACCGCACTCTCCAAGGGTGACATTGGTCGATCGTGCCATGCTTTTGATACTTCATCCACATTTGCTTTGAATCTGAAATAGAGAAGGTTGACACAAGAATCTAAAGTTCATCTACTTGTTAGACAAATTTGAGGTACACATCATATTTAACTTATTTCCGTATACTTACTTTGGATCTAGGACTTTTTTAAACGCTGTAATAAGGTTATCCTTAGTTAGATCTTCAATTTGTAGCTGAACCCCTAGGCCACTCTCTTCGATTGCTGCTGCATTAGAAGGCTGGTCTCCTAAAACGGGCATTGCAACTGCAGGCACTCCAAAATGAATGGCTTCTGTTGTTCCTCCCATGCCCGCGTGAGTAAGGAAAGCTAACGTTTTAGGGTGTCCTGAAATTTTGTTTTAATATAAAGAAAAAAATGAGGTCGTAGGTTCGATCCGCGGCTGTGCACAAATTGATTTTATGTCTATGTGCGCATTTAATATTCGCTCGAACGGAGAAGGAAAACGTGAGAAAACTGGCTTGACATATACCCAAAACGTCGACTCCGCGTGTCAGGATCACCTACTTGCCTATTGGATTGACAAATGATCATAAAACAGATACAGAATTCTGACCTAAAAAGGTTACTGTGCCACTTGTTTATTATATTTTTAAATTACTGTAGCAGCAGACAAATTTGTTAGTAATAGACAATGTAATTATCAGATAAACTTAATAGTCATTTCCCACCTAATATATCGACTTGTGGCAACCATTCAGCAAGGTAAAGTTTATTTTGGTCCAACAATGTAGTTTTGCTCTCCCACTTCCAAATAAAACGCTGGGGTAGTTCAGAAATCGCTCCTAAAACTGCTTGCACCTTTTCATCAGGCATAGTGGAACTTTTGACAAGCGAGCCAAAACTTATGTATATAACACCATGTTCAGCCTCTTCAACAAACTTCAAAAGGTTCTGAAAGTTGGAAAATCATTATAAAAATGTTTACATTAGAAAATACTAAAGTATCTTTATAAAAATTACCTACACCGGTCAATGATTTTGCTTTATCTACATGGTAACCTCCCACTTCGATAACGTTCGCTGGAAATAACAGGGAACCAGTCAGAACAAAGTTTTGGTATAATAGTAGAATTTTTATGTCCCGCGCCAGTTGTTCCAAAGGTGGTATATTATCGAAGTGCTTAGCAAGAGTATCCTGATCGCGTTGTTGTGATATATAATAGAACGTTTTAAAATAAAAATCGAATAGAATCCGTTCCACTCTTTGGTAAAGTGTCGGTTTTGTTCCTCCTTCCAAAAAGTGAAACGACACATACGCCGGGTGATTTGGTATTCCGAACCTGCTATACGTCCAAGGCATTAGTATGTGGGATGTAATTCCAATAACTGGAGCTCCGAGTATGTAAGCGACTCCTAAACCGCAATCACTATTAAACTGTTCAACCACAGCGATATCAAACTTAGGTTTATCTCTCAAAAGGTTCCGAACATTTTTATTTGCTAACATTACTTGGCAGTTTTCACGCCCGGCACCAGTAAGGAATATTGCTATGTCTGAAATTGTTGTATACGATCTTTTAAGGGGAATAGCATCTTCTAGAATCTTAATACTCCCCACTAAGCTAACATCATGGTAATTAGAAGGTGGATCACTTTCTGGGAAGTGTGATATAACAGTAACGTTGTGTCCTCGTTTGACAAGCTCTTGTAAATACACGCGATGCACGAAGAAATGGCTCTTGCCTTGATAAGGGAATATTCCTATAATATTGAGTGAATTACATGATGGCTGTAGAGTAATTGTAATCAATATCAATATCACAACACAGTTCATGGTCAATATGCGTGAAAAACGCGACCGTTTCAAGCAAAACACGAACAAAAACTAGTCTTGGCGAATACAATGACTAAGATCCACAGTGTTCTAATGATATTTTTTATTTATGCCTGCTTTGTGTTACTCATTATTTCAGTTTAATTAAACTATGATAATGGTTTCGTCACTAATACAACTTGTTTAATACTAATTGTTATTCACACAGCGATAAAGGATGTAAAATGGTAAGTAAGTACAAAATATCGTGAAAGTTAGAACTACTTTATTTTTGTATTCGGTGATTTTCTTGACTATTTCCATAGTACAAACAAACATTTCATCATATACAGAAGCGATATGAGTAATACACAAATTATTAACATGATATCTAAGCACAGGTACTGATATTTGCATAATTGATGTAATTGCTCCCCATCTAGCTATAATTTTCAACAATTGTATTAAAAGTGGCGAGTTTCCCGATCTAATGAAACATAGTAAAGTTATTCCATTATTTAAAGCAGGTAGTATGTCCGACCCCAGTAACTTTAGACCAATTTCCGTACTACCTACTTGTAGTAAAATATTTGAAAAAATTATATTAAATCAACTGGTAAGTCATTTTAACGTAAACAAATTATTACATAATAATCAGTTCGGTTTTACCAAGGGTCGCTCGACAGCCGATACCGGTGTTGAGTTATATAGATATATAGTTAAGGCTTGGGAGGAGTCGCATGACGCTTTAGGTGTTTTCTGCGACTTATCCAAAGCATTTGATTGTGTCCAACACGAGACCTTAATCGGGAAACTCCGCCACTATGGCATCAAGAATACCGCACTGAATCTTCTGACTTCCTATTTACACGGAAGAACTCAGAAGGTTGAAGTGAATGGTAAGAGGTCCTCTGGGTCGGCAGTAGATATGGGGGTACCACAGGGCTCAATTCTTGGCCCTTTCCTCTTTCTTATTTATATAAATGATCTACCTTTCATGGTAGAGAGAAAACATCAGATAGTTTTGTTTGCTGATGACACGTCCTTGATTTTTAAAATCAAACGACAAATAACAAATTTTGACGATGTGAACAATGCTCTGTCTTCGATTGTCCATTGGTTTAGTATGAATAACCTTCTACTTAATGCAAAAAAAGACAAAATGCATTAAATTTTGTGCAAAAAATGCAAGGGTTATGGATACTAGACCAATTATAAACGGTGAGGAATTGAATCTGGATGATACAACTGTATTTCTCGGAATCACGGATTGGCGAAGAGACTTAGTTCTGCAGCCTACGCGGTTAAAAAAATTCGCTCACTAACTGATGTCGATACAGCTAGACTTGTTTATTTTAGTTACTTTCATAGCTTAATGACTTATGGCTTATTATTATGGGGTCATGCTGCTGATGTCGAAACTATTTTCATCCTGCAGAAGAGGGCTATTCGTGCAATCTATAATTTAAAATGTAGGGAATCTCTTAGAGATAAATTCAAGGAAATTAATATACTTACCTTTCCCTCGCAATATATTTATGAAAATATTATGTATGTATACAAAAATAGTGATAAGTTTACTAGAATAGAACAAACGCACAATGTTAATACACGGAACAAACGCAGGCTGCAATTTCCCCGTACTAGACTATCTAAAGTTAGTAATTCTTTTTTGGGGAAAGGGATAGTCTTCTTTAATAAAATCCCAGAGGCTCTTTAGGTAGGTAGGCTAGGTATTAAAGAAAAGCTGTGTAAAAAGGCTTACTATAAAGTCAACGATTATCTAGTTGATAAAAGGGCCTGGGACTAGTGCTAGACAGGCTACTTCTAATTAATTTGCGATATTTGTTTTAAATAAGTGTTGTTTGATGATTTGCTGTTTTAAAAGAGTACCGAGAGTTTTTTACGCCGGCTTTTTCTCTCGGCCTACACCCTCTGTCTTCTTTGCCGATGAGTAGGGATGCCTTCAAATTGAATGACGTGGAATAAGTGATACATGTATCTTATGTTCCATAATAAACATATTTTATTTTATTTTTTATTTTATTGGAATGTCGATTATCGGCGAGGTGTATGTGAAGTTTGGATAGCGCGCAGCAAATTCCGTCCAATGTATTGCAGTATTAATGGCTGAGATTGGTCGGTCATGCCACATTTTAGATATATTTTCTACCTAAGATTTAAACCTGCAAAGAAATCAATCATTGGACTATTGGAGAATTTATAGACAGTCAAGTAATTAGGACCCGGCTAAAATTGTGTATCACAGCTACTTTCACAGCGTTATGTCCCACGGTTTTCTACTGTGGGGTGCTGCTTTGGTGGTATGAAAGTAGCAAACATCTTTTTTGATAAAGTAAGCAACATTAGAAAAACATTTAAATAATAACTATAGTATACGTAGTAAATATTACTTTTTATTCAATTTAAGTTTTTTTTTAAAGATTATATGGAGCTCCAAGTGGTCCATGGCGTCAGATCGCTATCGGCGACTGTGTCGTACTTCAGTGTCAGTGTTAGTGGAGGGCCAGAGTAAGAAAAAAGTATTATGGCCACGGGGATTCACAGTTCGTGAAACTTCGAAGGAAAAAGGAGTCTCAATCTCACTCTAAAACTCACTGCGAGTCGAAACGGCAGCGCTTCGACGTTTCAGTCAGTGATCAGCTGAAGCCTTCGAAACTTAAAGTTAAATAATATGATTTGTATTATATTTAAATACGTAGAACTCACGTTAAATAAAGACATTAGATTAATTAAGTGTTGACATAAATGTCGCAGTAAAGTAGTTAAATCAGAGAGTTATTTGAATCTCTAGACATTTAATTAATTATCGATAATCCATCAACTCGCTAAAGTTCCGTCAGACAAGTGACTGAACGAAATGTTTAACTAGTTTCTCAAACGTTCCTAGACAACAAGACGCATTTCAACTTTGGAAGGGTGACCAAGATATTTGATTGGAAAAAAAAATATATATTTTACTATATATTTGTCGATTAATATTTCATTATTAAGGAAAATGAATAGCCAATAAAATTACATTTTTTTTTGTTTTATGTTTCTTTAATTAAAAAAATAAAACCTGCTCTGCTGCAGATATTTGGTACATTTGATAAAAGTAATCAGCTGTTGTCGTGACCGCCATCTTGTTTTACATTATTAATCAACGCGCTGGCTTTCGGTCCGACAGATAGTTAAACGTTTTCGACACTGCTTTATTTAAATCAAAACGCTAGCGAGTTGATTGAATATCGATATTTAATTTACTGTCTAGAGATTCAATTAACTCCTTGATTTAAATACTTTACCGCGACATAAACACAATAGCAGGTGGACTAAGAGGGTAACAAAGTGGAAAGGGCCACCAGGGAAAGGAAAGAAAGGTCGCTCTGTTGCACGGTGAGCTGACGAGCTTAAGGAAGTTGGTGGAGAATAATGGGAGAGATGGAGCCAATTGGAGGAGGCTCAATAAGAGGTTCATGAAAAAAAAAATTGTATGTATATATAATGTTTTTATTTATGTATATTTTGTAAATGTTTTAAGGAGTAAATACGGCTTAATTATTAATTATTTAGATAGATAAGATTAAATGTATATTTGGTAAGTCATAGCCTTCATAGTTTCCGGCGATTAGTTTGCAGGCAAAAGTACGTGCGCAAACTATTCTCCACATAAAATTTACCTACAACTGTAATTTGCGTAACGTAATTAGAACATAATTTGATAGTTACTAACTAGCAATCGAATTATACTAGTAATCAAGTAATATTATACAAATATTTCCTATTTTTCGTTTCGATAAGCGTCAAAGAATTACATTATGATATTCAAGATAAAAATGCTTGGAAACATGGTCCTGCTCCATGGACAATTAAACTAGACAAAATCAATTTGATTGATTGATTGATAGGTTTGTATTTGCTTCTATTTTTTATTTTTTTTTAATGAAATCAACTTTGACGTAGCTCACACTGTTTGACTGTAAGTTAATTATATTCTTTTTAATAAAGAATAATGTAAACTATAGAGTTGCTATATTTGTAAATATGTGAGCACCATGTATCTACATAATAATATAGTTATCTACTGCATTGTTTTTATAACACCATGCGCCATATAATTATCAAATCAATGTATATACAATATTGTAATACTATTTTAAAATAATAAGTATAGAGTTGCTAGCCTATTCTTCTCCATATAAAACTACTTTTTTGAAGGGGCAACTAGAGTAGATATTTCTTTTTGATATTCGTCAGTGGCGCAACGTCCATCTGGGGCGAGTGGCAAATTCTTTTGATGGGGCCCTATCAGTAAAATTCGTCACGTTGTACTCAGTTTAATTTTAATAAACTTCGAGTTTTTCAGCGTACTCATTAATGGCCACAGGACTCCTCTCTTAGGCGAGAGGAGATGGTCTGTAGTTCCCACGCTAGCCCAATGCGTATTGGAGACTTCACATTCATCCATAATATCTCTTGCATCGGGGGCCCGTGCCATTTTGCCAGCCCTGCCACTCTATTGTTACGCCACTGATATTTGTACTTGTAATTTTGACTTTCAAAAGTACCCTTTTAATAGGCCTAATTGAAATAAATGATTTGACTTTGACACAGTTACAGCGAGTTTAAGCTCGTTTTGATTTTTTCTTAGCATTCTTAATATTTTTTTCCTTGAATGTTGTTCTTCGACATATTCCCGATATAAGCAATCTAAAAACAGCATATAATAAAACGATAGCTATAGAAAAAACGCTAATAACGTCAAGGCATAAATATTGATACAGGGGCGTGTCGACGGCTGCAGTTTTATAAGTGATGTTCGGGTGACGAGCTACGAACTCAGTCCAGTAAACCGCACTCTCCAAGGGTGACATTGGTCGATCGTGCCATGCTTTTGATACTTCACCCACATTTGCTTTGAATCTGAAATAGAGAAGGTTTGTATGACACAATAATCTAAAGTTCATCTACTTGTTAGACAAATTTGAGGTACATATCATATTTAACTTATTTCCGTA